CTCGCGAACCGCTTGGCCTCTTTTTCCTAAAAGAAAGCGATGACTCACTAGGTGAATTGTGGCGTTGCAGAAGGCCACGAAAATGACTTCGTATGATCTAAGCCCTAATAGACAATGACGCACGCTACTACTATTCTGGGCACCCATCCCCCTTCACCCCCTATCCAGTGGTGAGAATTAACAACTTTATAGAAGCTGAAGAGGGGGAAGAGAAGCGAAATGGAAGTTTGGTCAAATTCAAACCCTACGAGTCTCGATCTACATCGAGATGGATGTGATGGAATCAACAGTGGACCATGACGTCATATGCACACTTGCAGAAGGTTGCAATTTCTTTCTTCTGACCAGCCACACATTTACTGCGTAGAGTTCTTATACTATGTATATATCTGACGTATGTGTCGCTACACAGCGTCTATCCCTTTGCTTATTAATCAAAGCTTTTACTATTCTTGTCAATAGATGGCCTACTTACCTCAAGCTAGGCATTGCTGAAACCTAACCAGCTACTACAAGAATCATCTTCGAGTACGGAGTAGAGATTGTAGGACTAGGAAATTCGAGGGCCTCGGCGTGATGAATCATAAGACATCACTCTATATGTGGTAAAATAGCTAGGTATATATGTTGTAGAGTTCCCTAGGATAACTTTTGTAGTTGTATTTGTCCAGTACTGTACACAAAAGTATATTTATCTTTTGCGCGGGAGTCTGCCGACTTGGCTAAGGAGTCAGGAAAACGTTCCAAATGGTGGTGAACTGGGCAATTTTGCACTATGATATTCACCGGGGTACCTACTAGTAGAGGACACATGTGAAGTGTTGGTAAAGGATTTCTATGGGACAGCCGGACAGTCCCTTTTTACCCAGAACAGATGAGATGAAGCTCAATGAGTAAATTATTGATTGGCTGGGATCTCATCCCGTTAGGTGGACCTCTGGTGTGGTTCTAGTAGAAAGGATGGGCTCGAATTACTTTTCCCTCTTTAGTGTACATACTGTGTAGTACTTTATCCCACCTTATAATTGAATTTATTTTATATTGCTCTCTTTCTCTTCTTCTCACTTTTGTTTGGAGCATGAAGGGTGGCAACAGCCCAAATGTACTAAATTTGATGATGAACTTAGTAGAACCTATGCTCGGTCGGTGGCCAGGTGTATTACCCGATAAGTAAATAGCCAGGTGGGGCCCGGGTCGTTGAATTCCCTCGCTTTTTCAGAGGCTGGCTTGAAGCTTACGATACTGCTACCTTTTTCTTTTCTTTTCTTTTCTGTTCTGTTCTGTTCTTTTTCTTTTTCTTTTGGCGTGCTATTTCTGGCCGGGGGAGTGGATGCCATGGGATCTCACTATGTGTTGATGGGGAGTTACACTTTATCCCCTCAGACTAGTTGTTCGTTTTTACAACGCCACCTGAAAGAGAGGGTGTCTGATTAAGGCTCGCTCCATCGAGTTGTATATTTCCTCCGGTCCTACTCAATCCCATTTGCTGGATCATGACCGTGGAAATAATGGGCTTGCAGGTAGATCATAGATGATCCTCTTCCTCTCAGAGGACACACCGAGAGGGGGAAACCCGAAATGATAAAAGTGGTGCTGTTGGTGTTGCGCCCCCAGCGCCACGTCTCCATCCGACATTGGACCAACTACCGTGCGTGTCTCGAAGCCCATCAGAGTCTTCCATTGTTTTCACTGGGCAGCATGGAGATCGGGCCCTAGTGGGAATGTACCCCCTGCCGTTATGATTCTGATGGCCCTCCGTCTTAGGCTATGATCAACCAGTAATCCGTCTTCCTCCAGGTGGGGATTTTTCATTTTGATTTTGTTTTTCATAAGAATTATTTTTGTATCATATTCCCTCCTCCCCGCCCACAATCCTCCTTGGTTGGCCCTCTCGTTCTCTTTTTAGAATTTCCACAATCATCGAGAGGGTTATGACGCTGATGACTTGCCCCACTGCTGCTGTACTCATGACCAGAATCGAGACTCAGATGGCAGTACTCTGCAGGTCAGTCCATCTCTCCTCAGCCCGTCCCTCACATCTTATAGATATCATCAAAATGTTTCCTATCTCTGCAATCGCAATGGCAGATATGATCTCATTCTTTTCTACATTACGTCTATATGATTGTCAGATACTCTAGAATATATGTATGAGGCCACAGCTCATGCATTGATCATGGTGCCCACTGACGATCGAGTCCTTCAATAAGCCGATCCTCGCCACTTATTGGTGCCAGTCAGACATCGAAAGGCCGGGACCCCTATATTCTTAACTAACCATAAATGTTGGGTGCAATTACGCCGTTGCATGACTCTTGTTGGCTTATGTGTGTAGATCAATATACTTCTGCTACCATTTTATACCACTATACTTCTCTCAGCCATGATCATATCCACATAGAGATCCATTGCCTCATACCTCTCAATTCAAATGTGATCAACACCCAGTCAATGGATGTCAGCTCCACCTCCTGAGCATTTGCCACCGGTGTATGTTTGTGCTCGATGAAATTGCACCCACTAGGCCCAAACCCTCAAGCTCCTGGAATTTGACTCGACATTTTCAAGCTGTTGAAGCGGCCATGGATCATTCGTTCCCACTGGGTCAGGGGATATGCCAATCATCAGTGGGAAACCCAGTCATCGGGACATTGCATTTCCTGCCTTTCCGCGCTAGTAGGTTCTTTTCATGATTGACTAAGCCATGCCTTTCCACCATAATTTCATCTTTATTTCCCTGTTATTATTTATTTATTTATTTATTTTAAAAAAATTCTCGCTTTTTCTTTGCCTTTCTATAGTGATAAACCATTGTTCGGATTTTGTGAGGCCATCCCTGACAAATGGCTTTCTTTCAATCATATTTCTCGGTATCTGTGGTTTATACTTCAATAATACTGAACCCGTCACGGATCTTTCCACTCAGGCGAAAAATTTCAAACATTATGCCCTGAGATTTTGCTTCAATTTGATCAAATATCCTGCGATTCACCGTCACGAATATCTGCTTAATCTTGGTCTCTTTTGGAAACTCCGGCTCACAAATCAGGTTATATCTCCTCCTGTGGTATTAGGAAAGCCTCGCATTTTGAGGTGAAGCCTCGCCTGTGGATACTACCTCACAAGCCACGGCCATCGCCGCAAACACCAAAAGGTAGGGTAGATGGAGGGCAAAGCCCGGGAGATAACGAGGAAAAGGCAGCGAATATTCTGCAGATTACTAGATTCGTTTTCCCGTTAGCTGTCTGGCCGCCACTGTACAGTCCCCCTCTTACCGATATATTACTAGCCCTCTATATGAGCCCAGACGAACACGTCTCAAGGTGCCCCATCTCTTTCCACATCGGAAGTCTTATCCACATTTTGACAGTGATCTTCTACGGACTATACTGAGTGTGGAGGGTTCTCTTCCGGGACTCATTATTTATCCCTCACCCCTTCTCTTCATGCCTAGTTTACCGCTTCAGTTTTAGTGGGTGTACGTTTACGAAAGAAGCCAAACCACATCCACAGCTCTAAAACCGAACTTAATTGTCTGATCCACTCATTTATCCATTGGAGATCAGGAGTTACTGTTGACAGGATATCAATCTTTCATCTATTACTCATTTCTTCGTATATCTTTTCTGTCTCTATAGTGGTGATCCACAGAACCCTAATCGTTTTCGCCGTCAGTTATTCAGTCCTGTTGCCCTGTGAAGAAGGGGGGGAGGCAAAAGAATCAAACATAACAAAAGTAAGAAACCTAAGGTGAGGAGGCTTCCTATTCTATGTTACCGGTGACTTTATCCCTTCGTTTTCCCAGCATTCATCATTTACCCTGCCCAAAGTTATATAAAATGAAATATCGTCACCCTTGCCCGTGTATTCAGCTCAACGATCAGACAACCATATTTGGTCCTCCTGTTGTACCATTATTATTATTGTTATTTTTCTCCCTCGTTCCCTGTCGCAATAGAGATGAGAGCTAAGAAGACGAGCCCATTCCTGGCTACTCTCTCCCCCTTTTGGCGTGATACAAAGCCACTAAGCTCTATCCACCATCCTCTTCTTACCGTATGTTTGCTCTCATTGTCTTCTTACTTCTAGGATGCTGCCACTAGCACGAGCATCTCTCTCTGCATATCGCTTTTTCTAGTTTCTGCTCTCACCTGAGCCTCACCTGCTCTATTCCCGTGGCCTATAGCATCCCTCTGGGATTCTTCTGGCAAATTTATTCCCTCACCTACTTCTAGCCACTCACCATTCCCCTCTCATTCATTATGAAGATGATCCTATGATTAAGGACTTATTTGGGAGGGGAGATTAGCGAAGAGGGGGCATACTACAGGGCGTATACATGCGAGCATTCTGACTATACTTACGCCCATTTCCACAGTCCACACCCTCTATTACACTATTGTACTATCCGAGAAATCCTCAGTACGAACGCTAGGCTATCTGCTTGGGTATCTATTCAATAACTACACTCGCTCATCTCTCACTCCTGCTGTGCTCATTGGGCTAGGAATCATATTCCAATTTGCCTCACCCAAAGTATCCAGTGTATTCTTTCCTTCTCTTTCCATCTCCATCTGTTCCTGAATATCCCAATCCCTCCTATACCTTGCTCTTCCTGTCTATCTCTATTGTGTAATTTGTGTTGTTTTTCTTCTCCCTCTTTTTCTCCCTCTTTTCCAGTTTCTCCTGGAGTCCATACGCCCCTTTTTTATCAGCGCCCTTCTTCTGTCCATCCAACTGTTTCACATTGAAGAGATTTTTGAAAGTTGCTTTACAGAGGTCACAGCATTTTCTAACGCATGAACATATCATTGTCGCTGCAGTGGAGTGCTACTACAGCATCAAGTACGATTGCACACAGGTAAAAGAATCTTGGAGAGGAAGGTATGTGCTGTGGTTTCCTTTTTATACTGGAGAGTTGGCATTATCTACTGTGGAACACTGACTAACTGCTTGAAGGCTTACTTTTGCACCGTGTTTCTGGTACTCTAGATCCTGTCATGACGAACACCGCAGATCATGCTTCTTCGGGCGATTCGAACCCAGCAAGGGCAGCACCAGGTGGCAGCCCATCATCAAACCCGAATAAGGCCAACTCATCGGCAACAGCAACTCAAAAGTCCGGTCAGTACCACCTCTTATAGTCACAAGTTACTGAGCAACGAAAAAAACTCCATACTCAAACTTGCATCGTACAGACATTGGATTCTTACAGGACTCTCGACCACACAATATACATCATTATCCCGAAAATACTAATGTGAGACATAATGGCCGTGGATTGCCCTCAGCGTCGCTGAGCATGAGCGGCATGAGGTCCGCACTACCCGGTTACCAAGCCCACACTGTTGTTTTTGACCGGCGTGCGATGCCGCAGCACTTTGTCCCTACAGAACCTGGTCATGGAGTGGTATACTCATCAATGCACCCTTTACCATTGTTCCCCGAGACAACACCAAATATGAATATGCCTTTCAATAACCCATTCCCTCAATCATATTCACTTCACTCACACGAGCAGCAGCAACAACAACAACATATGCCACCTCAGCATACTGGGCCTGGGTATCAGCAGCTAGGTTACAGCTCACCAGCGCACTTGGGAATCCCGCCAGCCGGATACGAGCAAACTTATTATGCCCCGCCTATGTATATGGCATCTCATGGACAGAGTGCAGTTCAAGCGAATGTGACAATTCACTTACATCCACATCACCCATCCCACAATACTCAAGAGAACTTTGCTAAATCATCAGCAACCCTTTCAAAAATGTCCATATCACGTACTGCAGAGTCGGACTATGACGTCTCAAAGACTATTGTAGACGGGTCAAACCCCATGAGATCCACGCAAGCTCGGCCTTCCGCAATGGGTAAGTAGAAAAGGAATAGCTATGCGGTAGAATCAATAGCCCATGGCCCACCTTTATCATAGGCTGACATTCATTTGGTAGATACAGCCCCACACCCAATCAATAGTACCAGCATTGTAACACTGCGAGGACCCCCAAGGAAGCCAAAGCAATCTGGCCATGCTTTATGGGTTGGCAACCTACCCCCTGGAACAGACATTAATGAACTGAAAGACTACTTCGCCCAGGATGCCACTAAAGATGTTGAAAGTGTCTTTCTCATATCGAAAAGCAACTGTGCCTTTGTCAATTACAAGACAGAGGTGGCCTGCCTTGCAGCACTACCAAGATTCCACGACACCAGGTTCCATGGAGCACGTCTCGTCTGTCGACTGCGTCAAGGTTCGATGTCTCCTGCGCCGCAGCCCGATTCATCGAGTTGTTCATCTCAAGCTGGGAACGGTGCTGGCGCTATACACAACGAGCAGATTGGAAATATGATGGTGAAAAAGATAGCTGATAGCAAATATTCAAGGCCTCGAATTCCAAACAGATATTTCATTGCCAAAAGCCTGTCTATGGATGACCTCGAACTGAGTAGACAAAGTGGGATCTGGGCAACGCAGGCGCACAACGAGGGCAACTTGAACCAGGCCTATCAGGTGAGTCTCATATCCAAATAAAGGTGGAAGGCGACACAAAGAGGAGAGTACCTTGAGTTAATACAGATGGAAACTAGACAGCTGATAACGTCTACCTTGTCTTTTCCGCCAACAAGTCTGGCGAGTATTATGGGTACGCCCGGATGGTGTCTCCAATCCAAGAGGACGACGGCTTGATTATGGAGATGCTGCCTCGCCCTGACCACATCCAGGCCGAGCCCGAGGACTTGGATTTGACACCAACTCTAGCGACGTCCACCGCCCCAAATGGTCGGATTATCAATGATACTGCGCGGGGGACAGTGTTCTGGGAAGCAGACTCATCGGAAGATGAAGGTGGAAGCAAAGTTGATAAGAGCGTTACGGACGTAGCCGAGGAGGTATCAGAGTCGGGGTTCCAATCTATAGGGAAGCCGTTCCGGATCCAATGGCTTTCGACAGAACGAGTCCCTTTCTACCGCACACGTGGTTTGCGGAACCCTTGGAACGCAAACCGAGAAATCAAAATCGCTCGAGATGGCACTGAGATTGAGCCGGCTGTCGGGGAGAGGCTTGTGCAGCTATTCCACACACCTTACCCTGGATGAGGCGAACAAAGGAGGAGAGGAGGAAGAACGAGAAGCAGAGGCGTGTAGATTGATGCTTAGAATCTCACAGTTTAACCCCAAAGTCTATAAATGAATCAATACGTGAGTATGGGGGGGGTTGCTATATATTATTTATTTTCTTTTTCCTTTTTCTCCCCCTCTTTGGATGAAGGCAGAAGAATAATGGAAGGAAAAGGTGTGGTAGAAGGGCAAGGGGGGATAGACAGTATATCGTTTTATAATCTTTAAGTGTACATAGCTAATAATAGCTATCCGTAACCTAGGTTTGTGATGTTTAGGGTAGCAGAAAAGTGTATGCCAAATAGACACCTTTGTTATAGTTTATATATAATTTATATATCGTGTTGTCTTGTAGTGTGGTGTGGAGAGGAGCTGTATAAACGAGGTAAAAGGGAATAAATCAATTGTCACGAAAGACTTTGCTGGGTTTGTACATGAGAGGCATGGGGAAGAGGGGCTGTTGTGAATACAATTTAAGCAATTGTTAGCTACCCTTGAATCTGGACAAGAACATGAGTAAGTTCCAACGAATTAATATTAGCTCCCCTTTCATTTCCCCAACTGAAACCAGGACATTCTAAACCCTTACTAGCAAGCACTACGTAGTAAAACGAGGCAAACATGTGATCGGTGTGGGTCAAAACGGACAGATTGATACATAGTAGAAAAGTTGATTGATCGATAGACACTGTGTAGATTCTAATGCTTAAACGGTTCGCCAGATTTCATTCTTATTCTTCTGGTTTTTCTTCCCAAGTTGTGGCACTATTACGAATCTTAACCACTGCATCTTTGGCCATTGACCTCATTAGTCATGGCTGGGAGATGAATCATCGAGTTCCCCCGGATCCAACCCCAAGGAGGCTAGACCGGTTCTGGCCCACGGTCAATCGTGGGGTAAAGTCACCTAAACCTTACTGTACAAGACATTCTTCATCTGATCTTTTTTTCTCTTCACTCGAATGAAGGAGATTTTTTTTCTCTTTGTTTCCTCCTAACCTTCCGTCCCTTTCTTATCCCAACGAACCGTCTCCATATTCTACCTATAAAATACTACTGTATCGGTGAATCATTCCCTGGTAAAGTAGCCACTAGGAGCTCCTGGCACGGTAGAACCCTGGGAGGTCTTTTTGTGGTAGCCCTCCTTAGAGCTAGCGTCTTCTCCACCTCCTGAAAGCTCATTCCATACACCGGCGAGTTTTGTGCCAAGAGAAAATCGATTGAATCCATCCATGCCCCCGGCCCCTTCAACTGGAGCTCTCCACTCCCTCTGCAGCTAGCTGGTCGATCATAAGGTATGAAAAACCCGCTCTTTCCGCATCCCCTTAGCTTGTCTCCCCCTCTACTCCCTTCCGTTTCTTGTCTGGGTTATTAATAGCACCCCGTATCCCTCCTTGGTGGTGGCTCTGCCAACCGCGGCGGCTTCAGCATCTTTCCCTATCGTTCTTGCCACCACTATCGTTGCATCTATCCATATTCCAGTGCCTTTGTGTGACATACCTGACTGACTGATTCACCCCCTAACAGACCTGTGTCCACTACAGAGCCTCACTTCTCCTGTTCTGCACTGCTCTCTCCTCGCCAGTTGTTTTTCAGGGGCTGACGTCATACCGTGTATGATACCCTGAGCACAACCCAGTAGCCTCAATTTACGGTTAACATTGAATATTTCGATTCTTCTATCTCCACACTTGTGGGGTAGGGGGCGTCTTGCCCGGATAAGTGCACACTTAGCCCGTCAACCATATCCGACACGCTCCCTCCACAATCCCTCCCGAATCATCAACTCTGTCGAATAATCTTTCGGGATTGTTCACCCAGGTCTTAATAGAATGTCAGGCGATCGTTCGACATCTCCCATCTCTGTTCCTCCACCATCGCGACAGCGTCGAGCTTCCTTGGCGTCAGGCCTTGGCTTAGCTGATTATCTGACGAAACCCGGGAATCAAGGGACCACCTCAAGCGTCCCAGCGGGTCCAATGGCAAGTGCCGTAGCCAACGCACAGTCGCACCAAGGGCGACGGCTATCCATTACCACGCTAGGTCTTTCAGGCTCACCAACCCAGACTTCACCGTTTGGGGGAAGAAACTTGCGGCATGGTAGTGTGTCCAGCTCTGTGGGATCCAACCCCGCGAGCCTCGAGGACGCGGTCATAGAGGATAATGAGAATGGCCCACCTAGTGCCACACCGAGCTCTCCGTTCGCACGGAGGGTTTCTTTTGGCGCACAAGCATTGCGAGATGTCCGCGGAGGAAGTACAGGCAATGGTAGATACCCCTCTCCTAAGTCACCCGTGGCTGGAGGGCGCTCAAATGCGTCGCTAGTCAGCAGCACTTCTGTCAATACCACCGCTGGTTCAATAGCTACAAGTACACATAACGTGATTTCTAAGAACGATAGATCTAACCAGTCTTGGCGACCACTAGGCGAAGGCTTTAATTGGTCCGAAGCTCTTCGGACTCGTGCCGAGCGTGCCCCGTCGATTGGAAGCAATTCCTTAAATGCATCTCACGGACAGCATACAACAAACACAGTTCAGTCTGGGCAGCATCAGCGGGCAGCCTCCATTGCTTCAATGGAACAACCAGCCCGGGAGATGCCCAAGCAACCCCGGCAAAATAAGCCGGACTTTTTTCAGGAGAAAATACTCCGTGGAGACTTCATGGACTAGGCACGCGTACTAACGTGCTTTCTACCTCTTCGTTCCTGTCTAGCGCTTCATCCCCCCTCGTCAAGGGTGAGGATCAATGACTGAAACGAACGAGAGACAGACGAGGGGAAGAATCTAAGACAGAAATGAACATGAGAAAGAAGCTATTGCATTCAATCAATGTGGTACTGTCGATTCTGCATTCGCAAGGCGTTAAGATCGATTGTTCAGTCAACTGGCTGCCCTTTTCATGATACATCCATCCGGTTTATCCATGGAACGAAAGATATCGAAGCCGATGTCGCAGTCAGCTCCGGACTATCTTACCACTAGCCATTAAGAGAGAGAAAAAAAAACATGAAAAGAGAGGGAAGCGAGGCGAGAGATTCGAAATGGTGACGCAATTCTAGTCAAATTCCGATACGAGTTATTCATATTGTAACCAAGGTAATGATCGTATTGTTGATTTAGCGTATGTTTATCATTCGTTCTTTTCCTTTTGAATGTGCTGGTCAGACATGTTCATGCACTCGCGATTCTAAAACATAGCCATATGGTTGAAACAACACTAGGTCGTTCTAAAATGGTCGTAAATGACTACAACACTCTCACATTGTTCTATTTACGTCATTTGTTTTTCTTTTCTTTTTTTTTTATTCGATTTGGTTTTTTGTTGTTCTTGTTTATAACACTTCCCAACTATAGTTAAGCCATTGCTCAATGAAATGAAGCAGTATGGGTTGCATAGTGACATTACTATTGCTCTAATACAAACACGAACGTATAATGACCTTCCCCGGATTCCATTTGAATGTATGTCATAGCCGTTAATAGCTTAGAAACTAGTGTACTATATTCGTTCTCGTTCTGATACTCTTTTGAATTAAGCTTGTATGAGATCATAATACAAATGTATGCCATCGGCATCCCGGCCAATATTCCAGGTCTTCTTTTCACAATGACACCATAAATTAGGTAATTCTGCACGGGAAAGCTGCCATCTAAAGTGGACGCCGGAAAGGAGAGAAATCAACATCAATGGCTAGATAGAAACAATGTCTGTCAAGTGAAAGGAGCAATCTGGAGCACTCAGAGAAGGGTAAGTAAGATGATGGTGAAAGGTCAGCGACATTGTGGATACTTCATCGGAATCTCTGTCACCTACCGTTGTCTCAGAAGGACTTTCATAAACCGAGACGCATAACTCTCGAATATTAGTGTTGTGAGCCCTACAACGTAAGATCTGTGTTCAGCGATGCTCAAGTCATTATTAAAGACCCGATAATATGTTACTTTGTTTGTGTTGTGTGTGTTGCGTATCTATCTGTCTAGCTTATTCAGGCTTCTAATGGAGACTGGCTTTGGTCTTTGAACGACCACGTCTAATATCCAAAAATATGGAAGAGAATGCTATTCGCTATTTTGCTTGATTAACAGTGCACTGGAAAGTAAGCCACTGGAGAATGGTGCAATCTAGAATAATTGAATGATCTGTGTCTTAATACATTAAGGTTTTCAAGGGAGTTAGAGGTTAGTCTCATAAAATTTAATGATCTAGATATATATATACTATGTAGTCTATATCCATTTTTTATTAAAAAACACTTCCCCACTCCCCTTTTTGTCTTTAGGAACGAGATGAAGAGTCCCAAAAGACATTATTGATATAGACGAAGCCGAAGAAAGGTGTCGAACGTAATTATGGCGCCCGATCTAGTATGGGATGCCATTTGTCAACAGCTGAAATTGATCGTAACCCTTAGTAGAGACACTCATGTAGGATTTGCGGACAAGCTCCCGCATATATTCAGCCGCATCTCTCTCGCTCTTCTCCAAAACAAATCGGTCCCGGAAATTCTTCAGTGTATCAGGCTTGAAACAGGGTAAGCCGCTATCAAGCATCAAGGAGACAATGTGAGATAATTTAGCACTGTAGGGGCGGGATGCAAGGAATGCCTTCACAACCAAGGATTCGAACCATCGATAGGGTTGTGTGTTTGTAGGGTTGTAAGAACTGCCCCCGGAGGCATGAGCATGTGTGTGTTGAGTACCGCTCATCACGGCAACCATTTCAGAAGTGAGTTTGAACGGTGCGCGCTCGAAGCGAACGCCTCCAGGTGCAATATCAAAGCAGAACCCAAAGTCGATGTGTATAATGTGGCCAGCATCATCGACCATGATGTTCCCGTTGTGACGATCCTTGAATTGTAGAAGATACGATATAACGGAATAGGCTGCCATGCTCTTGACAAAATTGGTACGTGCTTCCTGGAATTTAATGGAATCTTCTCCGCCATACTTGGAAACAAAATAATCATAGAGCCCGTTCACCGCTTCACGGCCCAGCATGTCACGAGAGATTGAATTAGGGAGGACATCAATAACACCACATCCGGGAGCTGTCGAAGTTACTCGGTAGGGGAATACCCAAACATCAAGCCCGACACTACCGAAGATGCTCCGGAAAGCAGCAATCATCTGCAGGGCTAACATGTCCTGGCGGCAGTCGTCACCGACTTTAAAAATGGCCGACTGCCAAACCTCGTAGGTCTCCTGCTCCGAGTCCAAGCGAGTCTCTTGGTCCTGAGTCAAGGTGTGTTGCCCTGAAGAACTTACGGGGCCTTCTGGATCAAATCGAGTCCTCGTCTTTTGAATTCTGAAAGTCGCCATGTATGGCGCTTTTGCGTGGCTTTGGAGTGGTTTTCCGGACTTGCGATCAATGCCGACAACAACGCCATCGGGATTGCTAGGGAGATAAACACCAACTTCCACTTTGATTTTGCGAAGCTCTTCCTCAATCTTTTCTTTCTTCTCGGGTTTACTTTTTTTGATGTACGGCCGGAGCTTCCCTGAAATACCTGTGATTTCATTGAAGAAGGAGAATTCCCTTTCGTAGAAGTCGCGTTCCTCGTGCGTGAAGCTGGCAATGAGAGAGTCCATGAACTTGTCCAGGGTTGGCTTGAGCGGATCCGGCTGTTTTCATACGTTAACAAATCGTTCCAGCCAAGGTCCGCTTCACTCACAATTTGAGAATCCTCGTCTTTGTACGAATTAGCCTTCATATTCCAAATCACCTGGTGTGCAAATAATTGAGATTGCTTAGCTGTTTCCATGATATAGCGCTCTACGTAACCTAACGCATCATATCGTAGAGCTTGGATCAACTGTGGAACAAAATAGAAACGAACGTCAATTGAATGACTTTCCAATGCTTTCATCGCATACTGCAGGATGAATGGGTGATTTCCATAAGCAGGTAAGAAATAGGCTAGAGCTTCGGTTGGATTCACGGGGGCCCAGTAAAGCAAATACTGTTAATATTAGCCTTGAATTGAAATAAATCTATCAAGGATGCACGTAACCCTACCTTCAACTGGAATGAGATATCTGCAGGAAGAGTAGCACCAAGCATGATTTCAAGGCTACTGGGCTCATCGATAACCTTTTCCGGGAAGTTGAGCAATAACCAACGGATATCGTTCTTCAGCTTCACAGATGGGAAACGAGCACCAAGTTGAATGGCTAAACCTGGATGCTCAGCCCAAGCAAGCCGTAACAAAGAAGTGGCCTCCTGAGGTAAAATTAGACTCATACTTTGGGAGGGCTTGGGGAAGGAAGAACGGGATGGGTGTTGCCCGCAAGGCCAACGAACCTCCATGAAATTCCTGCTCCCAGAAGACTGAGGTATGTAATGTTTACGTTCTTGGTCCAAAGGATACAGCCAAACCTTCAGACGTGACCTCTCATTTTCAAGAAGGGTATGAAGCAGATCTTGTTTAGTTTGCAGTGATCTATACGATCCCAGTGTGTGACAAGCGACATTAGAGACATTAACCAGAGCAGACGCCACATCACTAAGGACTTTATCTTCAGCTTTGATCTGCAATCGATTGCCTCCGAAGGACCACCTGCAGATGCACATATTAGAAAACTAGGTTCAGCAGCACGGAATTGACAACATACCTAGGCGGGTGTCTAAACCAACTCAGGGCAGCGGACAAAAGTTGGTCCTTAAGCTTCCAAGAAGAGGCCGTGTCCGCCGAACTGAAATGCTTCAGGACCTTAAGGCCAAACAAAATGATACGAAAGTGAAGCTCGCGAGATAGGGGATGCCCGCTCGTTTGCATCAGGCCGACACAAGTCATGTCAACGAGGCGACAAAACAGTTGTTGATCTTGTCGGTTTCCTAGCTGAATTGCACTGAAGTGGCTCTCAAAAAACTGGAGAACATGTGAGTGCGGTGAGAGAACCTTGTGGGCTTTTTGTTGCTCTTGTAGCATCTGTGCCTTATCAGTAGGCAGAAGCTCAATCTTTGCATACAGTGGATCAACGTAACTAAGTTGCAACGAGTCAGTCTTATGTTACAAGATGCAAGAATAGGGGCCTTACTTAAAAGATGGGTCGAACAGACCCTTCTTGCGCGAGATTGTCTTTTCCCAAGCTTCAGCTACTTCAACTAGGATCTTGGGCTCCACACTTGGATTCTCATGTATCGCTCCCAGCCAGAGAGAGATTCCGAGGTTTATTGACTCCGTCGAGAATATCTCAAAGGGCAAAGACACGAGGTAATGTGGAATAGAAGGATGATGATCACCACCACAGCACAAGAGAGCGGCAGCCTTTCGCAATCCATCCCTAACTTCCAGAAATGGCACTTCATTTCCCAGGCTAATCTGTTCATGTATGTAGGACAGCCGAGCCTCGGCAGCATCGTTTGACTCCAGTTGAAACAGCACAGGCGCATCAATTCTGGGCCCTGTAATTGTTTGATCAGCTCAATGTACCTGTTGAATTGATAAGGATACACAGACTCTTCCCCCATCCTAGAAATTTAGACAATTGCGTATCCGGATATCGATATTTTTGGCGTGTAGTATACTGGGCCATGAAATCAGAAGCAACGTCGACCCTGTTGATCCCATATGGCTCAATGGATCCTAAGCAAGGATGAGATGCATTAGAAATAATGCTTGACTATGCACCGTTGAGCTTACCCAGCCGCTGATCGCTTTTGGAGATGAGCGATCCCATATCAAGTGCAAACGATCTGCCCATAGAAATATTGCCAAAGCCACTGCTGTCTTCGGATGCGGATAAATAGGTCTGGCTTCTAGTGAGATACGTGCTTCAGAAAACAGACCTGGGACATACCTGAAGAAGACCTTTGATATCTAGGGGGGCGATATCCATCACGGCCGTGACCCATTCCCGAGCTCGCCCAAGGAACACATCCAAAGTTTTCCTTCTAAAGTGATAGTTGTCAGGTAAGTCAACTTTGACTATTCCCGTAGGTGAAGTGAACGAGGGTTTCCACTCAAATTCATCGAGTTCTTCTTCAATGCAGGATTGGCACATGACTGTCAAGAGTTCGAGGAGAGCAAATAGAGAGTCTTTTTCGCATAGAGCCGATGGACATTCTTTGATGATCTTATTAGCGCAGAGTACAGCAACGTTCTGTACTCTTTCTACTCTGTGACAGCAAGCCACAAAGAAACCACCCAGTTCCTTCGACAAGAACGGGACCGAAAAGTTCTCGTGCCTACCAGATAGCGTCAGCGAGACATAAGTGTTTACCACTTTCTCTGCAATTGTAGTCATGCAGCTAGCCATTTCGACGGTGGTTAAAGCCGGGTCCCGGAAGTAACTGAGGACTTTAGTGCAGTTTCCAGAAGATGCACGGAGGCTTTCGACTAGCAACGCTGCATTAAGGAACACTGCTTTTGGATAATTTAAGCGCTTGATCTCAGATTCGCGGCTGGGAATCTCCGTAATCAAGGTTTTCTTCTGTTCCACGAGACGCTGTGGGCCCATGCCACGCCTGAGAATTGTATTAAGCTCCACATCACTTTCAAGCATTTCCATGCGGTCTTCAGAAACAAGGGGTGGCGAATGTTTTGCCAATATGCGCAGCTCCTTCATATGAGTTCGAGCAACGGCTGAGGTAAGTGAAATCCCGTGAACGGCAATGTTGAACCAGGCATCACGAAACAGAGTAGATATGTCCAGGTCATAATCTGCAATATCCGCGGAGTTTCTGGAAGTCACTCGATCGGAGACAAGCAACGCTAGTGGTTTCAAAAGGGGGCTGAGATCGTCAGGAGCCAAGGCTATGTCTCTATGGCGCTCATTTTCAAAATCCGTCGCGTCCCCCTTATTTACGATACTCTCTAGTAAATGAATCAAGTATGTCCTGTGAAGTGGGTTGTTTCTCTGCAGTGTGACAGAAAGGTAGGCCATTGCGCTCTCCACTGCATTAGCAACGTTGCAATATCCCTTAGTGACCCCGTCCCAGTAGGCCCGGTCGTAGAATTTGAGAAGAAGTTGAAATTCACCCTGAGCTGTGCTCAGAGACAATACAGCTGTTTCCTTGATGATATAGGCATCAACAGAAGCACTGACTTTCCCGATCTTTTGTAGCAGCATAGATTGTGCTAAGGCGCTTATTTTTTCGTCATTTGAGTGGGTAGCAATCGTCACGATAGCGTGGACAACGTTTCTGTAATGTACACTGCCTTGCTCGCCAGTGACAGGAAGGGAGGCCTCACTATCTTGCTTCGCTTGGGAGAAACTGGTAAAAGCATTGCTATGGCCAGGAACATCCCCCATCGACTGTCCATGATATGCCTTTTCGGTGCCCGAGCCAGGACTTAGAACATTCCCAAGCGAGTACAAAGTCGTGATAACAGCGTCTTGAGACAAAACGCCAAGAACTTGGGCAAGGCATTTCGCAGCAACAGAAGCTGTGGGCACAGTTGGAATGCCACCTTCGATAATGAACCTCAGGAGAGAGCGACTGCCGGAAGAAGCGCTGTTTAGTGACATTCGTGCAACTATTGCTATGCTTTTCAAAGTTGCCGTTGCCAGCTCGAGGCATGACATTTGATTTGGATCCACCAAGGTGTTCTCTAACCAAGAAAGGAAGTCTTCGCTGTTTGCCCTTCCACTCAAAACACAATGTAGATACCCGATAAAGGCGAACGCCTTCACTGAGAAAGCCAGCTGTTGCTGCAAATGCGAGCCAAGCTGCAGATAGTCAGAGTCATTCTCTAGAAGCTTGATCTGGTCATCGATGATCGCTGCCGTACGATTGATAAGAGCTATTTCATCTGTATCGTGGCTCCTAGCGATGCCAACGCCACTCATATAATCGTCCAGCAATTCATCTTCTGACATATTATGTGCTCCGACGAGTGACGTAGTACACGCTTTGACAAAGCGCATAAATCCTTCTTGCAGCAGCATGGCTCCTAAGGGGCGTCCATCGGCAGCATAACGCCGAGTGTACCTCCTCCAGTCTCGAAGCATGTTGTCAGGCATAGTTGCATTACGTACAGTAGAGGAAGCTGTCTCAACAGCAACCAGAAAGCCTTCGGACAGTATTGACCGCATATGCTCAACTACCCTTAACTTCTCGATGGCTGTCCAGAAGGAAGCAAACTTAGTAGAGGCCTCCAGAAAGCCAATCAGGGAAACAGTAATTGATAATATACTGACAGCTTCATGAGCCGTGCCGAGATGGTCTGTCCCAGAATCATAATGTGTGAAAGGCGTCGCAGCTTGAACAGATTTGGCGCAGTGTTCCAGGTACTTATCAACAGCATCGAGCACAGTCTCTCGCAGCAATGGATATCGAGATTCGGAGCCCAATGAAAGAAGAGCCAAAGTGACATTTTTGGTGAGTGCCTCCCAAGGGGAAGGTTTTATGTGATGCAGGAAAGGCGAAGGACGGAATAGCTGACTGTGGGCCTCAGGAAGGTACCGAGATAGCTGTGCAACCAACCTAGAGGCATGCTCAGGTTTATCCACAGAAGAAGAAGCTTTACATAACGCGATTAATACATCTAGTTCTCGGATGCCCTACGAAAGTCAGTTTATGTGTTTCTGGTTGATGTATGAGATACAAGCGTTGACGACAGACCATAGGCACCCGCGATGTTGGCGCCTGATTTCGTAAGACGCCATTCAAACCACGCGGGTAAGATGCTAGTTGAAACTGTCGAGAGATGCGGGCAATGTCTGATTTCTCGTCACTCTCCGGTGATCTGACTGCTAGCGTTGCAAGCTTCCCCAACGCGGAGGGTCTGATCGATGCGGAGAATCTGTATTCCAATCAGCGCAAGACTTTCCGAGCGATGAGATCATGACTCACTCGTCCATTCTAACGGCAGTTTCATATGAATTACAGAGTGTAAATAAATCAATTCATTGTTTCCCCCAACCTTGTAAGAGGCGAAAGGGAGAAAAGGTACGAGACGCCCCTGAACGGCAGACGATTCAAGTAATAAAAAGTGCTCTCGGAGCTTGTGACTGGACATAGTACGTGTTCCCTCCCCGGACCCACGTGGGAGGCCGAACTTACCTACTCCGAGTACGTTCTCCTGGGTAACTAAATTACGACCAACCTAGGTCCTCGGGTTTTAAGGCTAACTCACGGTACAAACCAGTAGATGGATAGGAAAATACAAGCAGCTGTGCGAAACTTATATGGTACGAAATACCTGGTTCAAAAATATAGCTCTCAAACTTCTTGAATTAGAAGGATTAAGTAATAAAGTTACATCAAGACCTGCCTCAGTTAAGTACTAGTATACTTGCCCATGTCAGGGCAGTGCGACCTAGTTAATCGTATCATTACTTTGGACTGTACTTAGTAGCTACAGAGTATAACTATCTCACATATCCAACAGATTGATGCTGGCCTCCGTCTTCGAATGAGCTTCTTTTTTTACGGTCCTTGTATCGGAAATAGCGTCTCAGGTAGCCAGTAAATGGTACTAAGGCATTGCTACTACCCCTTGTTATCAACAAATGCCCTCTGAAGAATATTTGTTTGAAAGATACCCGTTAGCGCACCTCGCAGAACTCCGAATCTTGAGCTGCCAGCCGTGAGTTAAACTCACGACCACAAGTCGCCTGTACCTTTTTCTTCATCTCCTCCTCCTAATCTTTCCTTTAGTTGTCTTGAAACTTCGCGATCCCCTTCTCTTGGTTTTATTTCTTATTTCTTATTTTTTTTATTTTTCTTCATTCCCTTTTCCTTTATTCCCTTCCTAAACCAAAGCATCATTACGTGCGTTACCACTGTAAAAGAAACAGGCCCTTCTGCGTCACTCTGCTTCGCATCGCTCCGCTTTGTATCCACTACACAACCAGATTTACCGCCGTGCTAGCTGCTTTATGACGGATTTGGCAGCTATTTAGCCTAAGGCGGACACAAAGCAAAAACAGAATGGCGCCACAGAACGAAAGGAGCTCTCTTAAACGCAGTAGGGTGGGTGTTTCTCGAACGGGTCCACTGCAACTCACTGAAGATGCAAATATCATATAGGTTAGCACAGACCACGATTCACAAGATTTGAAAAAGCAGCGGCGCTCCCAGAGAACCACAACCCAAGATCAATCTCAGACTACGCCGGTGAATCAGTCCTATTTACCTACGCCTCTGACCCAACAAAATTCTACCACGACGGACGTTACGAAAGAAGTCACGGCTTCACCTGGTGATTCTAGCCAGGTGCGCTGCCAAACACCGCTCAATTCAGATTCCCTCCAAACATGTTCGTCTCCTCCTGGTGATACGCAAGTTCAATCACAATTTGTATACCCACCTAGAGCATTTGCCGACGAAGTCGAGGATGAGGCTGCTGAGGGGGTATGGGGATATCTCATCCCGCTTAATGAAAAAGTTCGGAGGCCCCTTGTTCTGAGAAAACGTGACAGTTGTGAAGGCCTTGCGGATGCGAAGTCCAAGGGCAAGACTGGGAAAGCGACTCGACGGCAAGATAAATCATCGGAGGACAAACAAGTGAAAAGCCATCCTCCTGGCGGTTACTTAATTGGTCGCCATCCGGAATGCGGTAAGTAGCAATATAAAGCTTAATATAACATTGTATGACTCTGACATCGATATTTTCAGACTTGGTGATTAACGTCCCCACTATATCTAATCGGCATTTCTTGATCTTCCCAGAAAACAAAAAGGGTGGATCGGTTGCGATAATGGAGGATCTGTCCAGCAATGGTACTTTTATTAATGACGCAATCGTTGGGCGGAACAAGCATCGCGAACTTGAAGACGGGGATGAAGTCACTATTTTGGATGAAGCACGGTTTGTTTTCAGGTACCCTCGCACAAGGGAAACAAGCGGGTTCCGCCAGCAATACAGGCTTCTTCAACAACTTGGGAAAGGCCACTTTGCAACAGTCTACCTCTGTGCAGAACGATCTACAGGAGCGCAATATGCCGTTAAGGTTTTTGAGAAACGTCCTGGAGATTCTCAGAAGTCCCAGGTGGACGCTTTACAGCAAGAAATAGGACTGTTGATGGGCGTTAGCCACCCAAATCTACTATGCCTTAAAGACACCTTCGACGAGAGTGATGGTGTATACCTCGTTCTGGAACTTGCTCCAGAAGGGGAACTCTTCAACTTGATCGTTAGCAAGCAGAAGTTTTCGGAGACGGAAACGCGCGATTTATTCGTTCAGCTTTTCGAAGGGTTAAAGTATCTGGTAGTGATGAAGCTATCCATTATTCAGTAACAACAGCTAACCTGGGTAATAGCATGATCGTGGAATCGTCCATCGGGATATAAAACCTGAAAATATTCTTGTTGCAGACAATGAGCTGACTGTGAAGCTCGGTGATTTTGGCCTTGCGAAGATCATTGGGGAAGACTCATTTACAACAACACTGTATGATACAGCTATATATCCCTTTCCCTTCCCTCCTTTACTTCATCGGTGTACTTTTCGTGCAGGGATCTAGCTAATGTTCCTTCCCCGTAGATGCGGAACGCCAAGCTGTAAGTCGCTCCAGTAAAGCTGGTATGGCACTGTTGATGCTTATATTGTAGACGTGGCACCAGAGATATTACAAGATTCCCGCCGCCGAAGATACACGAAAGCTGTGGACATCTGGTCCCTTGGCGTTGTTCTCTACATATGCCTTTGTGGATTTCCTCCTTTCTCCGATGAGCTTTATACTGCCGAGAGCCCGTACACTTTAGCGCAGCAGATCAAGATGGGTCGCTTTGATTACCCATCTCCTTACTGGGATTCTGTGGGCGACCCGGCTCTAGACCTCATAGACAAAATGCTCACCGTTAATGTCGACAAGAGAATCACAGTGGACGAATGCCTAGAACATCCATGGCTTACTGGGAAATACCCTAGTGTTTCTGACAGCACTGATGGGCTAACTGGAGCTTTGGGAAAACTGGACTTTTCGAAACGAAAAATCGCACGGGAGCGCACACTCCTTAGCAGTGTCAACGATGTCCATTTCAGTGAGCACTTGGAGGAAGGTGCTATTCCGATTAAAGTTTTCCATAAAAATAACGCCGGAAAACGTGTACACAACAGGCCTGCCAAAGCCCAGAAACGTGAAATGTCACCTGACGAAAATAGTGCCCCTAATGATTTTGTTAACCTTGGAGAGCGTGGGGATCCAGTGTTATTCAAAGAAGATCCCGCCAGTCAGTACAAATGAATAATTGCTAGGCATCTGTGGGTTACTGGTTTTATAGACTATTCTATGCTATTATAGAGTTCTAGGGACAAGAACAAACGATGAGTATCACCACAATCGGGAAGATGAGTATCGTTAAGGTTGATTTTAACATTGCTCTACATTCTGCTGGATATGCAATTACTCAATTCTGCAGGCTAGTTGCCAGTTAATATCATGCATGTCATACAACGTTGCCACGAATGGCATCAGGTGATTGACTCTCAAACGGGTGCTCTCTTTGCTCAGATCTCGACGAAAGCTCGTGTAGGCATTGGCTTCAGTATTACTGTTCCCAGCGATATCTTGAACAGGTTGGCGATAGGTCTTTTAAGAATATAATTACCAATAATATAATACTACTATGGAACACACCTGCTTCCCTTATACTTCTCTACGTTGTGCCCTGGTCTGTTTGTAACAGTCAAATCTTCTGAACCCGTGAATAGACACCACTACTAGTAGTATCCATGATATCCATAGTTGAAGTATTAACCTACTCCTTAGTACTAGGTACATGTGACAGGATTTGATGTAGTTGATGATTGGTTATCGAAGATACGTGTGTAATGGTGCCTTAGGTGTCTACTACCAGGTTAAAGTGGCGTGATGTGAAATCCGCGTGGCTGCCATTCGTTGGTCCTGAGTCTCCAGGGGTATCTGGAAACGCCCCACACGCCTGGGCATGGTACTACTAGTACTAGTACCTTTTACTGTTTGTTAGATTAGTCTTAGACCGGAGAAAATCAGCGGCGAGGTCCCAAAAAGAAAGGTACCGAGTCAACTCCGTACTTACGCTTTCTTTTTCCTACCCGCTCGAAAGTTTAGTCTATCCCTCAGGTTTGGCCCTCTCAATTTCGGAGAAGCGTCACAGGTATATCTCCCCCACTGAATTTCTTCCAGAGTCCTAGGAGGGTACCTCTACCTGAGACGCTTTCCCCTTTCATGTCGTTATTCCCCCATTCGTTTACCCGGTGACCTACTGTTCCACAATCATGGGCCTCCTGGCTGTCATTCTCGACAGTGTTTGTGAGCGCTGCTCAGATTCATCGCTATGGACGCTCACCAGTGTGGCATTACTATCCATGCTTGTTGTGTCTGTGATTATCAACGCCTCGCGCCAACTTCTCTTCAAAAATCACAAAGAACCCCCCTTGGTCTTTCATTGGTTCCCTTTTATTGGAAGTACCATCAGCTATGGCATGGATCCATACAGATTCTTCTTTAATTGCCGGAAAAAGGTACGCTAATTCTGCAGTATTTACTGATTACGCTCACATGCTTACTACCACAGTATGGCGATATCTTCACATTCGTTCTCCTTGGTAAGAAGACAACCGTCTACCTAGGAACCAAGGGGAACGATTTCATTCTGAATGGCAAACTTCGAGATGTCTGCGCGGAAGAGGTTTATTCCCCGCTTACAACTCCTGTGTTTGGGCGTCATGTGGTATACGACTGTCCAAATGCTAAACTTATGGAGCAAAAGAAGGTAAGAAAAGTTCACAGCAGCAGTAGCAACGTTGATCCAGTTTATTAACAATTGTAGTTTGTGAAATTCGGGCTTACTTCAGATGCACTTCGTTCGTACGTTCGTTTGATTACAGAGGAAGTGGAAGATTTCGTAAAGAAGTCCTCGGCATTCCAGGGTCATAAAGGCGTTTTCGATGTTTGCAAAACAATTGCTGAGATTACTATCTACACCGCCTCACGTTCACTTCAAGGGAAAGAAGTTCGGAGCAGATTTGACTCTACTTTTGCTGAACTGTATCATGACCTCGACATGGGTTTTGCCCCCATAAACTTCATGTTACCATGGGCCCCTCTTCCCCATAACCGCAAGCGTGATGCCGCCCAGAAAAGGATGACTGAAACATACATGGAGATTATAAAGGAACGCCGTAAGGCTGGCAGCAAAAAAGACTCGGAAGACATGGTATGGAATCTTATGTCGTGCGTGTACAAAGATGGAACACCTGTCCCCGACGAAGAAATTGCACACATGATGATCGCCTTACTCATGGCCGGCCAGCACTCTTCGTCATCTACTGCAGCTTGGATTGTCCTGCATCTTGCAGCATCCCCTGAAATAACAGAGGAACTCTATCAGGAGCAACTTCGCATCCTTGGACATGACATGCCTCCACTCACTTATGAGAACTTGCAGAAATTGGACTTGCACGCCAAGGTCATCAAAGAAACTCTTCGCATACATGCGCCGATCCACTCCATCATTCGAGCTGTGAAGAATCCGATGCCAGTAGAAGGTACCCCCTATGTGATCCCAACTTCACACAATGTCCTTTCCTCCCCTGGTGTCACTGCAAGATCAGAAGAACATTTCCCTGATCCGCTTGAATGGAAACCCCACCGCTGGGATGAGGCCATCGCTGCTAGCTCAGAAGATGAAGAAAAGGTTGACTATGGCTACGGCTTGGTTACTAAAGGAACCAACAGCCCATATCTTCCGTTCGGCGCCGGGCGACATAGATGCATTGGTGAACAGTTTGCTTACGTCCAGCTCGGTGCGATCACAGCGGCTCTAGTCAGGTTGTTCAAGTTCAGCAATCTTCCAGACGTTCAAACCCTTCCAGACACAGACTACTCAGTAAGCGGCGCTACCTATGGAACCTATAGAGTACCTCACTAACCGAATTATAGTCCTTATTTTCTAAGCCTTTGGGCAACTCAGTGATACAATTTGAGAAGCGCGAGCCCGTCCCCAAGGCATAGTGTTCCCTCGACCTTTACAATATACAATATCCATGGGCATATTTCTCGTGTTTTGTGGAAGATAATTCCAGAAGTGCTTGGAAGACAGTACTAAGCAAAGGAAGGTGGAAGGACGCTTTGAACGTTCGTATTCTGGCCTCTTGTTCCAACATATATGATGGCGCCGAACGACCTATTTCTATGTAAATTATCTTGCGCATTCCATATCGGGGGTTAACTTTCAGGAAGCCCCATTTTCCCATCATATCATTTTTAATCTAACGTCATGACCTAAACCTAACAATTAGAAGACGCCACCTTACAACGCCCACGGATCAATGTGTCCAGTTCTACAGTACCAGAGATTGTGCACTTCTGCAGTATAGTTCCTAGTCAGTGAAGTGATGTTTATTTATTGCGATTCAACCCCCCCAAAAGTACAGTAAACTATTATACAGTAAGGCAATTACTCACCGCAGTTCTCAAAAATTCATGAGTTTATGCCGCTCCCTTCCTCCTTTCCTCACTTCTCATTCTAGCCCTAACCTCGGCACGTCTCCTTTCACCACCATCCACCTTGTGTCCCAACTTGTCCTCCCACATGCCTTCCTGGACTTTTATTAGAGCTGCGCAATTATCTGTGCCTTTGATTGGTTGTAAGAATGGCCCGCTGAGCATGGAGCCACGATGGATCTTCATGTGTGCGAACTTTTTGAGTGGCTTCGATGGGTCGTGTGTATATTCGGAAGCATCAGGTGGCAGGTTGACAATAACTTTCCTCATACCTGGAGAGAGCGTCGCCGATGAGGTGGAGGGGCCTGAGGTTTGATTGTCCGTTGGTGTATCCCTTGGCGCCAATGGAACCTCAACTACGCGCAATTGGGCTGTACCATCAACAACATGTTCTAGGTCACCACCCGGCCCAAAGACTCCGTTCCTGAATTTCTCCCTTTTCCGGAGCAGATAACGCCGTTGACGAGTTGGCTCAATGCCAATATCCCGGAGCTCAGTAGAGCTAAGAGTAAACAGCTTCTCCCATGAAGGCAGCTTGCTTGCATGTTTAGTCATGCCACGGCCAATCAACGTAAGAAATGTTTCGACGTCGGGGACGAATGGTGTTGGCGAAGGCACAGAGGGCGTAGAGGAGTGTTTATGGAAGCATCGTACACATTGTTTGCCAATGGCCAGAGGTCTGATGAGTCGTGGAGATAGGAGAAACGAGCTACGCATCACCATCATCGGTCGCATTGATCTTTTCCACTGAGTGGTAGGGACAAGATTACGCTTGCAAACTTGGGTATACAGGAAGCGAAAGGAAGAGATCAGGGTGTAGGCAATGGAAGCCAGATAACTTTGCTAAATCAAGAAAAGAACGAAAGCTGACTTTTCTCAGTTGAACTCACTGATTGGTAGTTACATTGTTGGCGGTTGGAGAAATTTTGGTCACAGCCGCATTTCAGGATCAACAAAACTCCGAGACTTTGGTTATTTATGTATGCTTAGGTAGTCCGGAGTACGTACTAGTTATAGTAAGCGCCACCACAACACACTGGCATCAAGAAGCATATATTGTTGTGAATGAGTAGGGCAACAACGGAAACAAAACAAAGCAAAACACAAGGCACTGTAATCCTAAATTTACGCAGCAAAAGAAAATTCGGCTGGTACTAGAGCTATCAGAGAACAACTCTCTATGGTCAGCACTTTATTCTATAACTTCTCAGTTTAGCGCTGTCTCCCGAGTTATAACCTCCAAGCACAGTCAGAAATACAAGTTGACTATCTCACCAATCTTCAACCCATGGCAATTTCACCTTTACCACCCCAGTCTCCATCAACCGCAACGGCAGCTTCTGACACCGCAGTTAAGTTGAGAGCTGCTCAGAGCTCAGCCAATTCCCAGGGCAATACATCTTCGCCAGCTATCACGCACAGCACTGATCGTGAACTAACTGAACAATTAAACGACGATGTGCGGCATAAATATATCAAAGGTGAGATATATCGCCCTTCTTCATTCATGCTTATGATTTCACTCAAATGTCTTATGGCACTAATGAACGAGTCAACAGACAAGAAGCTAGGGGAAGGAACTTATGCTGTCGTATACCTTGGTCATCTTCGCGTCGACCCTTCGTCCTTCGTGGCAATCAAGAAGATCAAAGTTAATGCCGAATACAAAGATGGGCTTTCCATGGATGCAATCCGGGAAGTAAAATATTTACAAGAACTGTCGCATTCAAATATCATAGCACTCCATGATGTCTTCTCCTCCAAGGACCAAAATCTCAACCTGGTTCTAGAATACTTGCCACGTGGTGACCTTGAGATGCTTATTAAAGACGGAAATATTCACTACGGCGCAGCTGATGTTAAGGCATGGATGGGAATGCTTGCTAGAGGTGTCTGGTTCTGCCACGAAAATTTTATTCTCCATCGAGATATTAAACCTAACAATCTCCTCATTGCTGCCGATGGGGAGGTGAAACTAGCAGATTTCGGCTTAGCTAGGTCATTCGCTGACCCTTACTTGAATATGACACACCAAGTTATCACACGCTGGTATCGGCCACCTGAATTGCTTTATGGAGCACGACATTACTCGGGCGCTGTAGACGTCTGGTCCATGGGAATGGTTTTTGCAGAGCTCCTCTTGCGAGTGCCGTTTGTCGCGGGGAATTCTGATCTCGACCAGATATCCAAGGTTTGCGAAGCATTTGGCACGCCCACTGAAGACAACTGGCCAGGAGTCACTAGGCTGCCCAATTATATACCCGCAGATAAAAATCACATTGTTCCTATACAGGGTCGTGAATTCTTCTTCAGACAGTTCCCAACTGCCGGTCCTGTTGGCGCAGACTTGCTCATGTCGATGTGTACATTAGATCCAAGAAAACGGAGTACGGCACGTCAAGTTTTGCAACACAACTGGTGGTTCACTGAGCCCAGACCGACAAACAAGGAAGATCTCCCCAAAAAAACGGATGGGATTCAGAAAATGGGCAACGATTTGACGAGAAGAGGAGGAGACATCGACGATAATACATTCAAGAACGCTGCCCGACAATTAGATTTTAACGCAAAGCAATAGCAGATCTACTTCATCTGACTAAAGGTGCCTTCGGATTCAGCGCGACATAAACGAGTTTTGCTCATTCTCTTGAAATTACACTAGGTGATATGCCGTCGTTTTATCATCTGCGTAGTTAGTTGCCAGGCACATAGGCCATAGACCACAATCTCAAATAAGCCAAGTCTAGAGCCATCTAGAGAGTACATCCTAAGCCTGGGTTCGTATTGCCCATAAAACTCTTTTTTTTGTTCCTTTATCGGCATTATCTATTAGACTCATGGGTACTCCGCCAAAAGTTATCTTCAAACTGTCGAGGATTGGCCTCAAAAACTAACGTAACTGGTAAACGAGCTGCGCACGCAACCGAGCTACGCAGTTCTGTATTCTATACAAATCGGCTGATTTTACTTCTTGAATATCTCAGCAACCAAAGATGGTAAGAATATAGGATTTAATATATAATATAATATATACTCGATAAAGCTAAGAATAATTTTTTAAAAATTTTTTTTCTTTTATTTTTATACTACAAATAAAAAATACTAAAAATACCGCTGTAATATCAAATACTAGAGATGTTATTATTTATATAATTTTCTTTTCTAAATATATAAAGGATTAAGTACTATTCTATACTCTATTTAATTTTTAGACTATTGTAGCTTCTTATTGTTGAGATATTTAAGTATTAAAAATAGTCAATTTGTATGGAAAATAGAGCTGCGCAGCTTGATTGCGTGCGCAGCTCGTTTACCGGTTACATTAGTAGGTAAGGTATCACTAGTCTCTTGTACTCCAGACCCGACTACCCAGGCGTGTCAATCCCGCGTGTGGATTAATAAGGGTCTCCGTCAGGTAGTTATAATGTATCACTCGAGGGTGGAAGCACCACTAAACTAGCTAAGTAGTTACTTGGGTGAGAGACTCCCTTCGCACCAGCATATTACGTGTTGATTGGTCCCCCTTTTCCCGTTTCCTTGCACTAAGTGTCTTAGCCCATGGTTTCTTGTCCCCCAGAGCCCCAGCAGGCGCATCATCATAATCTTAAAATTTCATTAATTTGTCACACCAGAGCTAGTATGTATTCGTGTATGTACTGTAAATCTTGTATTCAAAGCAAGGCTGGATGATGTTCACTTAATGTACTCCGTAACTCAGTAGTAAGTCGCCTGGTTACTTGAGAGTTAGTTTACTCCGTAAGTGATAGTAGATAGTTTGCGTTCCGTTTGCGACTAAAGAAAGTCAGTCTTGAAAGACAAACACCCACTCCTTCAACTTTTCCATTCGCCCATTCATATTAAAATTGACCTTTGACCTCGAACACTATGCAAGGTGACTAGATTCAAAACAGGATTGAAGGAAGAAAACCAATTCTAGTGTTTTGTAATGTTACGTGGAACACCAGACACAACAACATTGGACAATGATAGCCTCGCCGGCTTATACTAGTAATACTAGTGCGTTAGGTAACTCCGTACAGGACCTATCAAAGAACCGCAACAAAGTAATTACTTGGTAGGTGTACTCAGTACTTACTCCGGAGTATAGCCACCATAGGTATTACAGCTATTCAAACAAACAGTAAGATCAAGAGATAAACAAATATCAACTACCTTTTGCGGATTGTCACCTTTCAGATCGAACGACTATCATTCTACTATGATCACGTTGATCATATAATATTAAGACGAACTTCAATTAATTTGTGTATTTAGCCCAAGGTTATTCTTTCCTGAATCCCTCTCCAGCTACTAAGGGGAGCGGAAGAAAAACTGGAAGAAACAGGACCACGTTTAATCCCCCTTCAACAGGGCCGCTTATCCACCGACCCGCTCCCTTAAGACCCGATTAAACAACCAACAAGAACGATAACAACTCTCACTGAATTCTTTCCCTGAGCCAACTCCTCGCGGGCAAGTCCGCAAACACAAGGACCGGTTGGTGCTGTTACGGCGCACCTATCGGGCCTGTCAATCTGGTCACGCTTGGTCAAGCGGAATCTTAAATCAACCTTGTGCTGTTCATTTCGCCTCCAGGCTGATCTTGAATCACTATTGACATACATCGCATATAAGAGCACAGCCAACAGTGGCAGAGAGCGGAACGGCGACGGCAACAGCAATTTCTATACTGTGATCCTTGTAAGGGTTTGGGGTGCGGAGATTTCCACCAAAGCTAAAAACACCAACGGGGCCTTTACAAGAATCAAACCTGACATTTACTGTGAGTTTTCGCCCTCAAAACCCTTTAGCTATAGTTTATTCCACTATTTCCCATATCTGTTTCTCGTGTACTTTCTGTTGCATTACTGTATATAGCGGCACAAGAACCGCCCGTGCGCGGGGAGGACGCCAAGATTGGCAATGTTCCTTCAGCCTTCAGGCACATCCATCATACTTGGCTGATGTCTAGGTTGAGGTCTCAACTTCATATTCCCACAATATAGCTTATGCATCACTACTATCAGAGGCTAATTCTAGCGTTCCAATTATCAGAGGCCTGCTCTGCAAGATCAAAATATTCAGCAACGAAACGCCTATCCTGAAGCCTCCGCGTATGACCGCCGCATTGGTTGTTTTCCAACATAAACCATCATAATCGGACAGCCCCAGCTAGGCTTGCCTGATACTAGTGATTGGAGTACTTGTACGAAATCTACGCCTCCATGTCTACGTTACCCCAACCGTCGCGGCCTGCCGCGAACCCTTCGACGGGGTTCTTACCCCCGCTCTCAGCACCAAAATCAAGAAAGAGTTTACCAGTCTCATCCGACCATGCGAGAGCGCCTTCTCCACCTCAGATTTCTTCCAAAATACGTGCCTCTCCTAGCCCAAGGCCATCACTTAGTAAGACTGCACTGTCCAACTCGGCTTCCAACCTGAGCTCCTCCAGGTCAATATCCGCTGGTCGAACTCCAAGCAGTCCCGATAAATCGCTGCGCAGGACTATTAGTATTGCAGCATTTCCCCAACCACCGAAGACAGGAAGCCGTCCTTCCACTGCATCATCAATATCAGGTGTTCAGAGCCTTCGCTCCTCTGGCAGTGTGAAGGTCAAAAGGAACTCCAGGTTAAGCGTGGGGACCAGCAGCAGCTATCGAAGTTCACAGACCCCGTCCTTGCTAAATAGCGGTGATAGTAAATCAATTGTTGGTACAGAAGCCCGAGATCCAGAGGCTTCACCATCGCAAAGCCGGAGCTCTTCCGCTCAAGGGTCATACTCTACAAGCGCGACCACTTTTGAGGATGCAGATGATGTAACGGGTGCCTCCAGGCCTCATTCGAAGCCTAAGGAGGCCAAAGGTAACGTTATAGTTAGTGTCCGAGTGCGCCCTGATGTGCACGGCACCGAGACATCAAAAACCAACAGCGAATGGGCAGTGGATGCACGTCGTAGCCTTATTACGTTTAGCGGAAAGGAAGGAGGCGATTATCATTATGGTAACAATAGCCCCACAATCAATCCTTCTGCAAAAAAGTTAACTCTTGTATATCAGACAATGTCTTCTCTCCCAATGAACATAATGCCAAAGTCTATGATTCCGCGGCAAAACGCCTCGTGAGAAGGGTAATGGAAGGTTACCATGGCACCGTCTTTGCATACGGCATGACTGGCACCGGTAAAACCTTCTCCATGCAGGGAACTGCTACCTCTCCCGGGGTGATCCCACTAGCAATAACCGACATATTTTCTTTCATCAGGGAGACTCCGCATCGAGAATTCCTGCTTCGCGTTAGCTATCTTGAGATCTACAACGAGAAGATCCATGACCTACTCTCAGCCTCTGCTTCTGGCGGTGGTTTGCCCCTCCAGCAGGAAGAGATAAAGCTGCGCGAAGATAGCAAACGAGGCGTGTATGCGACACCACTGAAAGAAGAGATCGTACAGAGCCCGACGCAACTTCTTCGTGTAATTGCGAGGGGTGACCATGCAAGAAGAACTGGCAGCACGCAGTTCAATGCTCGCAGTTCCCGAAGTCATGCAGTGGTCCAGATCGTTGTTGAGAGTAGGGAACGAGTGCCCACAGGCGCCATTCAGGACAGGCGATCGGGCATAGCTCCGGGAGGAGTCAGAGTATCCACGCTTAGCTTGATAGACTTAGCTGGATCAGAACGTGCAGCTGACGACAAAGAACGGCGCACAGAAGGTGCTCACATAAATAAAAGCTTACTTACCCTGGGTACTATCATTTCCAGGCTTTCGGAAACTAAGGACAAAGCTGGTAACCCGACTGATCGCGAGGGCAGGCACCTGCCGTATCGTGACAGCAAGCTCACGAGGTTGTTACAACCAGCTTTGTTAGGGAATTCACTGGTCAGCATTCTTTGCACTGTTCATCTTGGCGTAGCGGGCAATTCGAACTCTGGTGAAACACTCAATACTTTGAAATTCGCTGCGCGAGCTAAAAACAATATTGTCAGCCACGCCAAACGGGCGGAAGAAGCGTTCGGTAGTGGTAGCAGTGATGCAGGGAGCCGTGTGCTTCTAGAACGCTACCGAATGGAGATTCAGGCCCTTCGAGGCCAGCTCGAGAGCCAAACAAAAGCACAAGCCGAAAAAGAGTTGAAATTGGAAGAGCAGCAACTAGAAAAGGAGGCACAGGCACGCCACGAAGAGCAAATGTTGGAAATGCAATTGGCTCGAACCGCGCTTAAAGAGCGCATAGAACATCTCAATCGGCTCATTCTTTGCTCCAAATCCACTGGTGTGAACAGCCAGGGAGCGATGTCTACTCTTGGTCGACTATCAAGAATGTCTGCTGCCGAATCGGTGGCTCGATCTTTACGCTCTTCAGTCAGTCATACAACATTGGGTGCGTATGGGACATCGTCTGTCCGGCCTGCATCATTTCTCTCCGTCAACAGCAACGAAGCTTTACCTTTCTCGGGTAGTTCATTTGGCAACGATGAGGATGAAGATATCGTGGGGGAATTTGCGGACGGAAAAGCAAGCGCTCAGAGGCAAATCGTAGCCCTTCAGGCAGATTTGAGTGATAAAAATCGGTATATCTCGACTCTAGAGAGACGCCTACTGCAGGCTCGCCGGTCCAGCCATTCACGAATGTCAATAGGCGTTAAAGCTGGGAGCGCAACTTCTGAAAATCCAGATATGGTGGCCTTGCTACGTGAAAAGGATATGGAAATCAACGAACTTCGACAACAATTAGATGATAAAGATAGAATGCTCGCTGCGCTCCGTTCTGCTGCTCGGCATCGGGACCTTGCGCATATCGCTACCGATACAGACCTCAAGGAAAAGGGTGAGTATCGAAGTGCCGATCCTGATGTTAGGGGTTCGCTAGCTAGTGACCATGTGGCTAGTATCCTTCTGCCTCACAAGGAGGACGAACTAAATGGGACGAAAAATATGGATGATGAAATGTCACGAATTCTCGATGAGATGATTCAAGATCGGGTTGACAGTGGCCACTTAATCAAGGGTTCCCACGGCAGTGTCCGTATCGCTTCCGAGAGTCAACAGCTTTCTGACACCACGACGCCTGTTCAGGGCCTAATCCCAGGCAGCACGATTCATGACAATATCGATCATGATTTCCAGCCGGGGTAACAGACTTCGCTTTGCTCGTCTTACATCCTTAATGCTCCTAGCATGCTCTAATGGACTTTTACCCCTAACGGGAGTTATCTTTCGCTAATATCTCCCCCGCCTGCTTCCTATCCTCTTCTTTTTTTCTTTTTTTAATATCCTCGCCCTTTCTAATTTTTCTATCCCACATTATGCCCCCTTTAGTTTTCTCAGATACCCAGGCTGCTATTTCCATTGGTTGGTGTTTACCCTTACGATATATCATTTAGTGCAAGTTGAAAGAAAATAGTCGATATGTACACTTGCTTCAGCATTATTCATTGAGAGGCTCAAAACGCAATAAGAACGCTTCAAATACAATCGTGTGGTATCATTTCCCAGCCATCTTCGTACTTCACGCACAACAAGCTCTTCCTTACAGCCGTCCTATAAATGGCTACTGTTGATAATGTCGGACTAGTCGAGGCAAATATATACATTGCTTCATATTTCTAAGATGCGCAGCTTGAGAAACTCTTACATGAACACAGATACATTTTCGACCTATGATAATGAGCTATGTTTCTCTAGATAATGTCACTTCCACAGAACACACATCCATCTCCTCATTTCTTTTTTCTGCGGTGTTATGGGTTAAGATGCAAAGTTATAACGTGTGTGAAAAAAAGATTGATGCTTCACTAGAAGAGTCAAATCACGCAACAATCTCGAGATCAGAAGTCCTATCCTTGGCATAAACATCTTTCCATTGCTCCCATAATCTTGCTAGCTCCTGCACATACTTGGCATGCAGATAATCGATATAATCGTCGTCGATCTTATCTCTATTTTGCTGCTGAATAACTTGAATGGGACAGCCGACAACAATGTTCAAAGGGCGACGGTAGGGCATTAAACCCACATCATAATTAAAGACCCCACGAGCATGAAACAGGGGGATTGTGAACCCCATAGTATGCTTTATGAGCATTTGAAATTTGTGTATCAGGGGGTGTTGGTCCGAACGCACTTGTTCATACAGATCATTCTCGCCGAATGCTAGCACAGGGACAAGGTCGGCACCAGTACGAATGGCAAGCTTTATAAAACCCTTTCGTCTCTTGAGTACAAGGCGAAGCGTGTGTGGTAAGGCATCGAGGGATTCGCGGGCGCCACCAATAACAATGGTGATAGCACGCCCCATGCCTTCGCCGTCGGTGCCACCTTTAGTAAGAAGATTCTCGCATGACTCACGCGATACGCTAGCAACACCCATAGCAAGAGCATACTCCCGATAGAAAGGAATCCGAAAATTAGAGTCGAGGGTAAGCAATGTATTGGTAATTCCCGGGAAGAGCTTAGAGAAACCCAGCGCCTCAGTCGCAAAGGCCGCAAAAGCGCCGTGTGAGATGATTCCATGGGGGTGATACCCAAATATATATTTCCGTGTCGGCAAAAGACGTTCAGATCGATGTAAACGGGCCGGGAAATAAGACGCATAAATTGACCAGATGCGTAAAGATCGCAAGTAATTGCTCCGGCCACTTAAGGTCCCAGCCGTAGCAGCCGTCGAGAAGAGTGATATATAAATTAGATAAGGCAAGAGAATAGGCCAGGATAATGGTATTGCACATGCGAAGAAGAAGCTGGTAAGAAAAATGGCGATAGTCAAAGTATGACACAATACCACAAATGTTTGAAGGCGACGTTCCAGACCAATATTTAGCGGTGCCCAACGAATGCTAACTCTAGAGTCAGACCACAGGCTATACATTCGACTCCCTTCGTCAAGACCCAGGTCTCCAGGGAAAAACTCACCCCATCTTTTTAATTTTTCCAGGTTCACCAGAAGTATTGGAGTTGGAACTCTTTGCAGCTGCAGATAATATGTGATTATATGAAGGCATCATCTCCGGTTCACTTTGGAGTTTATGAGCTCCATTTCCTACAGAAACTCTGGGTATTTTGTCCCGAGAATCAGAGCTAGAATTGCTGTCCTGACATTGGCTGTTTCCGTTTGAAGTCTCATGCCATCTATTACCGCTCTTCTCTAGTGTTATCAAGGTCGATCGAGGGTGATGAGTTATGTCCGGAGTCACGGCCATATCGGATTCGATACCAAGTGCAACACTCGTCTGGCTTGGTGATGGGGAGCCCGCAATATCAGGAACAGCCAGTGTCACTTCAGGATGTAAGCGATTTAATTTGGGGAGATATGCATTGAGCTAAAACATAGGCGGGTTAGGTATGATGTAGTTATGTATGGATCACAAGCGTCTATAGTTGCCGTTTCTCAGGATGATTATACGGCGAAAGTATGAGAAGTATCGAGGTAACTATTTCAAATTAGATCGTGGGTGAGGAAAGGAGCCTTCGGCACTTCCAATTTTCACGTGAAGAATTACAAGTCTTTTACAGACGTCATTTATTACAGTTAGGGTCAGCCGACGACGATCACCAAGTATCCATAAAGCCCTCCACTGCTCAGGGCTGCGATAACAATCTTCTACAATTAGCATCATATGTAAGATGGTTGCTCAAAACATGTACCTTTTAATATTATAGATGCTACTATTTCCACTATACATTAGGCTAAATATTGTATATAGATCATCGTGACTACTCAAGGCCTCCTCCTTCCTTTGTAGATGATTCTCTCCAGCAACATTGAAGGCTGCTAAAAACCTTACCCACAACGGCCCAGGAGAAAGCCGTGGGCTGTCCTAAATGCTTCCCAAATCCATACAGAGGTTATTCATTTACAAGTACCTAACCCCCAAGCCTATGGTAGAGATATAATTACTACGTCTCAGCCTTCCAATAGGCACGGATGAAACTTACTGCGTGGAAGTTTAATGATCAGTGATTTTGTTAATTATGCTGAAGGGAAATATAGGTACTGTATAATTTGTTACCTTTGAATCAAATAACCAAAAAGTCCATGCGTTTTTCCCACATGATCTCATGGATGCGGCTTGATTATATTTATTTATTAATAATTCAACTGACATATAATTGATACCTATCAAAAACTACATACTTTCTCGTGGAGATATGATACCATGCCATTTGAAAGCCAAAGCTCCTCATCGTCCCTCCAATAGTTGCAGAAACTCCCTGGTCAGTGATGGCCTTATTATGCTAGCTGATCTTCCCGACAATACCCCATAATCTCAGACACTCGTATCATATGCTGAGCACATTATTGGTTTGACCAACCATGCACAGTATCTCATAATATTTTATCTCGGACAAGATAGAGACCTATATATGCCAAAAAACCCAGAAAACTTCGTGTCCTTTATCACGCTTGCAGATGTATAACTCTTCAAAAGAACAAAAGGGTATATAAATGCGGTGCGTCGTGATGTTCGGCTTCCTCTAATGGCACGGGAATCGGGATACAGGGACTTGGGCTATTTTCCTGTATAGAATGACTGCAAAGCAGCGCTGTAATGTGCCACACGGTCCTTAACTTGACAAAACTATGTAGCCAGGGGACATATAATGTAAAGTAATTCATGACTTTACCATGAATATCTGTATCAGTTAGCTTCAGGTCTATGGCGGTAGACATGATTAAATTACCTCATTGAGAGATCTGTCATCCATGAGGGCTTTCTTCTTTTGTGCAATGTGTCGGCCTCTGAGAACATGTCTTCCCATCGGACGGCGCTCTTTTGATGAAATCTTGGCAACCGGGGGTGATGCATCTCGGGATTCGTGAACAGTAGCGTTTAGGCTAGTTTCCAAAATCATATTTTGCAGGATTTCAGAGCCTGTAGCGCTAGGCTCATCCACGTGCTTTCTTTTCTTAGTCTTCCTGTCTTTCTTATCTTTCTTTCCCTGTTCGTCTTTCCTATGCCGCTTGCTCTTAGACCTAGAGGCGTCCTCCACAATAGGTACAGATGAGACCTGTTCCTCTCTAGACACCTTGAATGAACTACCTTCAATAGAAGTGTTCGCATCTTTCTCGCTTTTTTGCAAATCGAGGCCACCTTGCTTTTGGTGTGAACCATGCTGAGCTCCTGGGGTTTCCTTCTGGGGGGACAGGGAAACAAGCTTCTCTTGCGCCAACAAACCGCCGCTGATGAACCTGACTGTATGCCATTTTGTTGCAACATACCGTGCCATCTTTGCATCTTCGCGCTTTTTTTGTTCTGCTTCCAAATCTGCATCGGATTTTCCATTCAGACGACCTAGTAAACCTTTGAAGGCATCAAGGCCAGTAGGTTCATTGAGGGGGTCACGCTTAGAGCGTGCCCCAAGGCCAAGTGTATCATCCTTTAGAACAACCCTAATATGAGATGCGCTCGCGGCAGTGAACATATCAGCATGAGCAGCATTGCGTGCACCTAGAAAACTGCCAGGAGTCCACCCCTGAGAGCTCATAATTCTGTGGCCATAACCGCTAGTTGATCGGGACCAATTTGTATTGTTTGGATCATGGGAGATTTTCGTCCTCCTTAAAATTCCTTACCGTCAGTATTCACGTTATTAAAATATTCGGGGTGCACGAAAATCCCATACTTGCGGGGTGCTGCTAAGCCCATTTGCAACGCTAAATATTACGGTTGATATAGTCTCCCTAATCTCGAAATCCTAGAAACAAGCAACAAAAAGGTGTAGAACGAACGGGTGGAGCAACGAAATGATAGTAGACTGACAAATTGATAATATAGAGAGAAAAAAAAGAAAAGTAAAGGCCCGATAACAAACATAGACCGCCTGCTTTTTTAGGGGGTTCCACTTCTAATCTGTGGAGCAACGCCCCCTTTCAATATAGTATCAATATTCCCGGCAGTATGACATGGTTTCTCAAGACCCGAGTCGGTATGAAAATGATCATTAGATACGTTGGATAGCCTAGGAATATGCCAAATTTACGGGTCTTTTCTCGGGATAGTCCTCAACGCACTCTTGCTATAACAACAGCTGACTTCGCCTTAATCTTCAAACATGGCTCAACAGCTCCAGCAGTTAATAAATCACCCAAAAATGACCCGCCACGGTGTCTCGTTGAATTTGCAACGTTACAATCTGTTGACTTGAGAGGTTATCGAGCTTTGAGTGACGGTTTTGGAACTCTCGGGTTGATTACTTTGGGCGAGGAGGTCTTCCTCTGCATTGTTACTGCTTGCTCAGACGCCGCAGTAGTAAGACCAGGAGAGACAGTCTCAAAAATTGACAATGTGGACTTCTGTACTGCCTCATTATCATCTTCCCCAATCAATTATAGCTAATAACCTCAGTTTGCCTTAGTCATTCGGACTATGAAAATGGACTTGAATCCGAATCCGAATCTTCCTTTGCAACTGAGGAGTTCAGTCGTGGACCCAGCTTTGAGAATAAGGAGACGGTTACTGATCATCCGTTCTTGGCCCTGAAGAAGCTCCTCAGTGACGGCAGCTTCTATTATAGTCTTGATTTCAACCTCACTGATCGACTGCAGGACCGGTTAGTCGATATAGGATGTCTATGGATCAAATAATCAAATGGTAGCTGATATAACACTAGTTCGGAAAAGTCGACGGCTTTCGATATTGAGTCTCTGGATGAGGATATGCTGTGGAACTCGTACATGATTCATCCACTTCTTCTTTTCAGGAGCCACCTGTCGCCTACTGAAAAGCTACGTCTCGACTCTTCCCAGATCCTGACATGTGTTATACGCGGGTTTTCCGGTACACTGACGATCCCTGCTTCAATCCCCATCCTGCCTCAGCTGCGAACAAGTTATTCTTCCACGTTGACCATCATTTCGCGACAGTCCTCTCGACGAGCAGGTACAAGGTTTAATTCTCGAGGCATTGATGATGATGGCCATGTTGCCAATTTTGTTGAGACAGAAACAATTCTTTGGATCCCACCCAATATAACATTTTCCTATGTTCAAGTACGTGGCTCCGTACCTATTTTCTGGGAACAAGCTACTGGATTCCTGCCTGGGCAACAGAAAATTGAAATAACTCGGTCTAGCGAGGCAACTGGGCATGCTTTTAACAAGCATTTTGAGAATCTTGAATTAGAATATGGTGCAATTCACGTGGTTAACCTTCTCAGTAAGCTTAAATCCGGGGAGTCTGAGTTGTCGACAGAGTTTTCCAACCAGCTCAGGAAGAGTTCTCTTAGCCAAAAAGCGATTCCTAACATACTATCCAACCATGCACTTTTGCGAGCAACTGAATTTGATTTCCACGCTGAGACTCGAGGTCCCTTGGGGTACGGAGCTAGCAGCCAAATAAAACCCGAGTTATCAGATTCTTTGGATGGGTTTGCATATTTTCTGTCCGAAGGGATTGGCTCAGCAACTTCGAGCGAGAATCAAAATGAACCGAAAAGTTCCTTTGTCATTCTTCAACAGGAAGGCGTGTTCCGGACAAATTGCTTAGATTGTCTCGACAGGACTAATCTTGTGCAAACCATCATCAGTTCCATGGCTCTGGAATCCTTTATGTTGCAGCGAAAGGGAAGATTAAGCCCCGAAGTCCAGCTGAAGCACTCAACCCTTTGGGCCGACAATGGAGATGCTCTATCAAAAATATATGCAGGTACGGGTGCTTTGAAAAGCTCGTTCACCCGACATGGCAAAATGTCCATTGCTGGCGCGCTGGCAGATGCACGGAAGACCGCAACACGGCTTTATGTCAACAACTTTTCCGATAAGGCTCGTCAGAAAACAATAGACCTTTTATTGGGAAGATTGACAGATCAGTCGACGGTGCATCTCTATGACCCGATCAACGATCTCGTTTCTGATGAGTTAAATCGGCGAGCGTTGGAATATTCCTCTACCAAGTCTATCAAAATATGGACAGGGTCATTTAACGTCAATGGGAGACATCTTGGGCCAGATGTCAACCTAGCTCCATGGTTGTGGGCAGGAATTGACGGGAAAACTGAGGAGCCGACTATATTTGCTGTTGGCTTCCAAGAAATCGTTTCACTAAGTCCACAACAGATAATGTCGACGGACCCTACAACTCGTAAGGTATGGGAAGTTGCTGTTGGGAACTGTTTGAACAACCGTGCGAGTTCGAGAGGGACTGCGAAGTATGTCCTTTTACGGAGTGGCCAGCTTGTTGGCGCCGCACTTATGGTATATGTTAGAGAAGATGCACTGAGAGATATCAAGAATGTTGAAGGGAGTGTAAAGAAGGTAGGCTGCCACACGATTCCCATAAACACATGTCTGATAATGATTATGTAGACGGGCCTCTCTGGAATGGCTGGTAATAAAGGTGGCTGTGCAATACGCTTTGAGTATTGCAACACGCGGATATGTTTCGTCACGGCTCACCTTGCCGCTGGATTTGCAAACTACGACGAGAGAAACAGGGACTATGAGATTATATATCACGGACTCCGGTTCCAGAAAAACAGAGCAATTGAAAACCATGACGCCATTGTGTGGCTTGGAGATTTTAATTATCGAATCGGTCTCGAAAGCCAATTTGTTAGAGAACTTGTGGCACAGAAAGACTACCAAAAGCTTTATAACAACGATCAGGTATTTCAATTGCATAACTCTGGGATTTGCTTTTATTTAACGTCATGTTTTAGTTAAACCTACAAATGTTGGCAGGCAGGGCCTTCCCGTTTTATACCGAAGGTCTCATTACATTTCCCCCAACGTACAAATATGACATTGACAGCGATATTTATGATACATCGTAAGACTCGGTTTATCTTACAATATGGGTATTTGAACTGACTGGTTGCAGAGAGAAAGCACGTATACCTGCTTGGTGCGATAGGATATTGTGGCGAGGGCCATGCCTTCGTCAGATGGACTATAACACTGCAAACTTACGATTCTCAGACCATCGACCCGTTTGGGCCGCTTTCTCGTGTGTCATTAACGTTGTTAATGAAGCTGTGAAGGCTAGGCTCAGGCAAATACTTTATACTGAGAGACGCAACGGACCCCACAATGTGATGTCAAAGACAATAGAACAAGCGAGCCCACAAAGTGAAGAACATATTCTACCCACGCCTATTGCTCCTGGTCTACCACCAGCTAGTTCAGACCATCATAGGTGGTGGTTAGAAAATGGTATGTACCCGATCGTTCGTGGCATGCTTATACATCGCATGTGCTCTTGCTCAGTTATTCTAATCAATATACTTAAAGGGGCACTTGTTAAATCAGCTTTGAGACCATCTAGTGATAGATACAATCTCAACATCCACCACAGCTCCAACCCTTTCTCTTCCAGCAGTGATATGAGTTGGCTCAATACTCATAGTTCCGCTCAAAGACAACTCATAATTAAGAATCAGGATACTGTATCGCAAGGCTCGCAACTTCCCCCAAGGCCCAAAGTCCAGATTCCGCCAGTTGATCTGAGTATCGGGAGTCCAAGTTCCTTGGACAACACAATTAATAGGTATACCGGACATCTGGGTAATGAGAAGATTGCACCACCGATACCCCGAAAACCGGTTTCTCTTAGTTCAAAGCAATGTCTAACGGGGTCCTGGCCAGTTACTAGCACCCCACAGACAGTTGCTGACATAGGACATATCTTCAAAGGATATAATCCAATAGGACAGAATCTTGGAGACAAAGTTGACACAGTCGATACACCGTCTACCCCAACTGGGAGATCGAAAAATACTGGCATGTTAACTGATTTTTGGCTCGACAGACAGGAGAAACATGGGCAAGACAAAGGCTTACATACAAACCCCTCAGTCGAGTCACCTCCGAGGTCTACAAGTGATGTTAATGATCTTCTTGGTGGAACTGCAGACGAAATTATTGAATGGAAGCCTCTTATTCCCCGATGACGCTGTTGTGATAGAAGTCAGGGCTAGTTCACTTCAGAGAGACGATGGAGCCAGTACAAACCGCAAATCCACATAATATTAGAAACAGGTTCTATGTTTATAATTTTGCAAGATGCCCGCTGCATGGTGAAAATAGCTATGTCATATGCAACTGGTGTTGCCTGTTGAGCTTAAAAACCTGCATTAAAGCCAAAACACATAATACACAAATATGAATATGGAAGGAGTAAAATATGCTATTCAACGCTCTATGGGTATATTAGCACGCCGCAACACCCACAATGTTTAACACATGATAGAACCATGCCACGACTTTTTTAGGGACCACGGATGACTTCCGTGCTCCTTGTTTCACCACTATCAAAAGAAGGTAAGAGGAAATGAAAATGGAAATAGAAATAGAAATGAATTTGGGCGCGCGATCCCACCCCGAGGCATGAGAAACCAATCTCGGCTATGCGAGAGGAAAAGCCATGCCCCCCCCAGAGAAGTTTGGATAGATCAAGTTCAAACTTCTAGCATTCGCCCCAGGCTGCCTTGAAAAGTCGAAGATATCGCAGAACAAACAAAGCCCACGTACATATTGACGTTCACTTCATATCGCAGCCTAAGCTTTAGGCCTAGCTTGAAAGAGAGTAACGATGCACGCTATACCTATCGCGCAGTCTAGAGGCAGCAGCTAAAAGCTGAGATTCTATCACATAACACGAGAAGCGAACCCGTGTTGCAGGACTACTCTAGGCTTTTTTCCCACTTTTAAAGCCTTGTTCAACCTACGGTTGCCACCCGCCATCCACATCGCAAACGCGCCTGGGTCAGGGGCTCTTGGTCGCGGCTTTTTCACTCCTGGGAAGACAGGTCAGTTTTTAGCATAGAACGAGATGAAGGGCGAGTGGAGTTCCACTCAGGGGACAGGTTTTGAGAAAGTCCATGGCGAAACAGCAGGCATAAGACGCACCTGTTGAGTCAGATTTCTTCTTGGGCTCCTCAGCAGGAACAGCGACAACTACGTCTTCTGGCGCTGGCTGAGCTTCAGGGGCGGCGGCAGTTTCTGGGACAGGAGGATCCGGAGGCGGAGCTGGCTCAGGAGTCTTCGGCTTCTCTGGTATAGGCCACATATGCATAGTTACTGTCCAATCAGGTTCGATTACAGTTTCCCAAACCTGTGGAAGAATGATATCCCCATTGGGCCCTATCAAATCATAGTGTCCCTCGGCGACATGAGGCCCAATTACCTCTATGTGGAGAAAAGCCTGGCGGATGAGCTCTTCCATACCCTTGGTTTAACAGGGTTAGATATAGAATCTAATGGGGGGTAAAAAGCAGGGATAATAACAGAAAAGAATGCCTACCTGCCAAGTACAACACAGGTCGAAGGGGAAGCTGAACTTCCTCCCGACCGCATCTTTAAACTTTATGGGTTTTTTCTTTTCTGGGGGGGGCTTATCGGATGCAGCAGCCCTCGCAGCAGCAATAGCTTCTGCTGCTGCTGCATTAGCTGCTTCAGTGGCCGCCGCCGCCGCTTCCTCCGCCTCTTTCTTTGCTTTCACTGCTTCTTCGGCAGCTTTTTGCTCTGCCTCCGCTCTAGCACGAGTAGCAGCTTCCTCTACGATCCTCATCTCATGAGCAGCGCGCTCTTCTCTGGCGGCTTGTTCAGCGGCTTCTTGCTCCAGTGCCGCTTGCCGTGCAGCTTCTCGTTGTTCCCTCGCTTCGCGTTCTGTCTTTTCCTCCAAGATCAGCTTCTCCAGCCTTGCAATTGCTTCGTCCTTTGATGTATCCGTGGGTGGCGGAGGTGGGGAGCCAGTTGATTCAACCTGACTTGGAGATGGTACGCGGGGGTATGGATTGAAATATGACGGATGAATCATGCCGGGAACCATACCATATGGCTCCCTAAAAGGATAATAACCCCCTGGTCCATAGGGGACCAAGTCATGGGGGCCCAGTGGGGCGCCGCCATATGGTGATGGACTATGAGATGAGAGAGAACGTGCCAATGGATGTTGAGATGGATTATGCCCATCACCTCGAGCATGGGAAGGTAGCGTATGGTGTGGATGGTGCCCCAGGTGATGGTCATGAGCAAAAAAAGGTGGCATCGAGGAGCCAGGGGGTTGCTGCAGTTGGTGATTATATGCATAACTTGCATGGCCGTAGGGATTCGGCTGAGTGGGATGTCCGTGGGGGCCCAACCTTATAAGTTGGTCTGAAGGAGGCTGGTGACCGTTTTGGTGTGTATAAGCTGTATGCGGTGCACCGCCATTGGGGTAAACGTATGAGGGTACTGGAGAGGGGCTGCGAGCATACCCTGGGCCTTGGGTCATGGGCGGCCAGATTCTCTTCTCATGAGATACTCGACCATAAGGACTGTCATACTCGTCCCCTGAGTCCATACTCTCTGGAGACTCGGGTGAAGGCTGGCGACGAGGGCGACGAGTGAAACGCTCCCGTTCCTGTGCAACATGACGTCTGCCTGGGTGACGACGGTTCGAGGACGGCCCATGAACCGGGTGATGGCTACGAGCACGATGCGACGTTCTAGGTCGAGACGCGGAATCAGACGGCTTCAACTCGTCTGGATATGGCAGGTGTGCCCATTCATCATAAGGATCCTGATAATCATGGCTTCCCGAGTCGGACGGCGGGGAGACTTGTACGCCCGAGGAGTCTTCTTCGTCAGAAAGTGAGGAATGATCGGAGCCGTGAGGGCTGGGACCAATGGTGATGTTGAACCTAACAACAATTAGGGCTAGGGTACTACTGGGGGTGTGGGTGTGAGACGCACGCCATAGGATCAGTAGCGTTAAGAAATCTTCAGGTGCTGTTGTTATTGCTCCTTCTGGAACAATAAGAGAAGAGATATTAAGTATGGTCGCTAGGATCACGCATGTAATTCAACGCAATTTCCTGCTTCGTGGGGATACAGCGAGGGCTATATGGAGGGACAGGATGCCCCCCATGTACCTGAGTAACTATATTTGAGCCCCAGGTGGCCGTTTGTAGACCTTGGGGTTGGTCTCAGCAATGCGTATAGAAGATTTCGCTACCACCCAAAATTATTTGCGATAGGGATAGTGAGTATTTCTCAGAGGCTGCACAGGACGGGTTCCTTGGAGGCCTATGATATTGGATGATGAATTCAAAGCCCGGGCATATACCCCGCCAAGGTAGAACGTCGGGCGCGAATTGTAGGGAAGGGTATCCAGGAACTCAACTAGAGATTCCGGGAGACGAGCCAAGACAAGTGGTTCTCAGAAAGTGAGGAGGGGTCGGTGCGAAGAGCAAAGAAAAGTGCCAGAAAAGACGATGGAAGAACTTTACCTAACTCATCCAGTGGACTGCCTGATCAGATAAACTGATCGTTGGGCATGCCATGGGAGATGATTCTGAAAATTCGAGACAATTAGGCACTAAGCTGTCAACCCTCTCTTTTCTTGCAGGCTGTATGCTGCCTAAGTGCCCAATCAACTTTCAACCTTCGGGTCAAGTAACTACAATCGGGCGACAGCTGAAGCAGGTACGAAACATGTCTCTAGTATTGTGCAGGGAGTCTTTGGTTGATCTCATGGCTATGTGGCATGAATAAAATGAAGAATTTTTCTAGTATTGGATATATATATATGTATATATACTACGAGCTGTAGTTATTGAATTAAATTAATTGAATGGATGTCTGTGCACACGGAGGAATCTACTTATGTACCGTACCATACCTCGATGTGGATAAAGCACTACTACTAACGTATATTGATTATGTATTATCCATTCGCTCATTTTGACACGAACCATGGATGAATATTCTTCGCAGCCCTCTTTTCTTTCTCTTCTCTTCGGCCGAGGGAGAAAGGTTTTGGGGGGGGGGGTGGTTAGTTCTAGCATTAGCCTTAAGAATTCTTAATTAAATACACCATGAGGATCTCTGTATGCCAATTCGCCCAACTAATTAGCACCTTGGTAGTAGGCTTATACTAGAGAATCACAGTTATTCTCCCGCCAACTTGGTGTCACAATTGAGATACTACAATGAGTAGGACATGTTTTTTACTACGAGGACCTGTCTGTGCTGTAGTCCAAGCGACTACGGCTACAGCCACCATCTACCCATGGAAATATACAGCCCATAACTCTTTATTATCCCGAGTTTCACGATCAGCAAGCAATTGGGTTTCTACCTAAAGCCCATTTGTTACCCACCTAGCCAAACCACACTGGGCAAACCTGAGCGGCTGGGCTGAGGTGGGGATGAAGCCTACGAGGCATTGAAAGGACTTCTGATAATAAGACCCATGTCACAAAGTGTGTAAGTTGAACACCTCTCTCCAACTCCGAAGGAGAAAAGCGCTGGACAGTATAACAATATGGGAGGAGACATTCATTATACATGGAGTTAGCGGATTCATGGTAAAATTAACTTGCGTGCTCACTTAGCATGAGTCGCGGTCAAGAAGCTCTTGGGCTGCATTGAGTTCACCTTGCGCATGCTCCCAAAGCTGGCGGTTTCCAGACCGCTGTTTTACAATCTCCTCAAGTTTTCTTCTAGCGAGAATATTCAGTTTCTCAGCCTTCCCTTTGGGCAAGAAATCCTCCGTTGACGCTGACGATGACGCCTGCGTAAAATCCACCGCGTATTCTCTTTTAAGTTGAAGCGAAGTCGCCTGGGGGAGCAAAAGTCAGTATATATGAGCGTCTAGCACAGACGTCAAAACAGTCTCGGTAAGGAGAAGACAGAGGCTGGACAGCGGGTACGAGGGAAATCATGCAGCAGATAAAGGCTCACCAAAACTAAGCCATAAAACCCCCTAAGATAATCGTCACATAGCTCGACGCTTCTACAAAAATATTGGATAGATCTTCGCAAATACCGAGAGGAAACTGCTGTCTCTGTAGTGCGGGCGCAAATGTACAGAATTTCTCCAAGGCGAGCGTGAATCTGCAGTAGAGGTTAGACAGTTTTGGAGGGAAAGCAAACAGTGGACACATGCATTCCAAGCATTAGGAGCGACCAGCAGGGCCTCCTCGAGACTGAATATTGCCTGCGAGCTTAATCCCTGAGACTGATATAGATCTGCAAGTTCACACCAGGCCTCTGCATCGGTAGGCACGGCTTTTAGGAGCTCTACCAAGCCGGTTATAGCATCTGTAGGTCTCGAAAGTGAACGCAAGAGCGCGATACGGCGTTTTAAAATGGGCTACAAGAACCAGTCAGTAAGCGATCATCAATAAATATACCAGGACAAACCAAATTAAGCGGGTTCTCCGACAGGCAGGAATCGTATTTACGTAGAGAATCCTCCAGATCAGATTGATTTTCAGCTATAGCCTCCTCATATAGGCCACGCAACCCCATTACTTTCTCATTCGAAGAGCCGAAACGGCATGTCAACTGCTCGAGACATAACAGAGCAGACCTATCATCACCAGTTTGTAGACAGGAGAAGAACAGTTGCTCTATTACGCTATATTTCTCTGGCTCCTCTTGTTTAGCTATTAATGCAGATACTGGATTCTTCTTTGGATGTAGTTGATGTTTAAGGATCACTGGTGCTTGCTGAGAGAAACGAAGGGTAGTGATCGGACTTGAGCTCTGAATGGCATAGGATTCGGGTGTAGCATGGGCCATGGTAGTACACAAGCCCAGTGAGCACACTGGTTCATATGTTATTGTGAGAACAACAAGCTCTACTATGCTTGAAACCCCTTTTGTAGAGAAAAGACCGGGGGGGGGGGGAGAGGAAGAAAGAAAGAGACAGAACCTAACACTGGTAGGGGTAATACTAAGCATGGCCTCTAACCCTGCTTACTCCATATGAGCTCCGTTCCCATTCTGGTTAGTCATTCGATCTTGATAACCGTTCCCGTGACCAAATAGATGTCATTTCAATTATCCCTCCACCTCAACTAGCAGCCAAATCTCTACTTATCAGGCTATTGTTACAATAACTCTATACTGGATTCCGTACTGGCTTCTAGTCTATATGCGATTGATTACTATCATTATTCGCGGCAGGCGAAGGATATAACCGGGGCCGAAGCAATACTCTCGATGTGACATCAATCAGGGATATTCTATTGCACCCGAGAGCCAACCAGCCGCGCATTCAACCACAATGTTCGCACCTCTCCATTTCGTGCTACTAGAAAGCTTTGCTAATCATCAAGCAATGTAGGTTTGAAAAATCTCTCTATGACCTTATAAAAGGTTTGAGGAATCACAAGGGGTCAGAGGAGGACTACATCCAAGACAGTCTTCGAGAGTGTAGGGCTGAGATCAAGTCTCAGGATATGGGTACGTTCATGTCAGTCTCATGCCATTGTCAATCTGTTCTATAGCTCACTATGTACAGACAAGAAAGCCACAGCTCTGCTAAAACTGATCTACTTGGAAATGTTTGGGTATGACATGTCCTGGGCTTCGTTCCATGTACTGGAAGTCATGTCATCTACCAAGTACCTGCAGAAGAGAGCTGGCTACCTTGCAGCAGTACAGAGCTTTAGACCGGATACTGAAGTCCTAATGCTGGCTACAAACCTACTAAAAAAGGTATTCAAGGGTACAATGGGCAAATTATCTCCGGCGTCTAACATCTTCATAGGATTTAGTGTCGCCTAGCATCCCAAGCATGTCCCTTCCTTTGATTACATTGCCAAACATCATCACACCTTCACTTGCAATGTCTTTGCTTCCAGATGTCCTGTCCCGCATTTCTCACTCGCATGCTGTGGCTCGTAAGAAGGCTGTTGTGTGCCTTTATAGGCTTGCCCTGGTTTATCCCGAAGCGCTAAAATTGGCATGGCCTAAAATTAAGGACCGTCTCATGGATGATGATGAAGATAGCAGCGTCACCACAGCGGTGATCAACGTTGTATGTGAACTTGGATGGAGAAGGCCACATGACTTTCTGCCTCTGGCGCCAAGATTCTTCGACCTATTGGTGGATGGAGGGAACAATTGGATGGCTATCAAAATAATAAAACTTGTATGTTTCCTTTCCCCCAGGTACTGTGGACATCTTCCTAACAAACATAGTTCGCAACATTGACACCCATAGAACCACGGCTAACACGAAAACTCATCCGGCCATTGATCAACATAATCCAAACAACAACTGCCATGTCATTGCTCTATGAATGTATCAACGGCATAGTTCAGGGCGGTATTCTTGATGGCGAGGAAGGGCTGGAAGAAAAAGACGAGATTGCAAGCCTCTGTCTTGGAAAGCTCCGAGGCATGGTAGTCACAGAGTCCGATCCCAATTGTAAGTCCTTTCAAATCGGAGCGTGGTAGTGAGACTAACAAGAGTGTATAGTAAAATATGTTGCTCTCCTTGCCTTCAACAGAATTGTGATGTCTCACCCCGTCTTGGTGTCAGCTCATCAAGATGTTATCATGGATTGTTTGGATGATCCGGACATTTCAATTCGACTGCGAGCCCTTGATCTCGTGACTAGAATGGTAACAAGCGATACGCTTCAGCCAGTGGTCAACCGGCTTGTTGATCAACTTTTTAATGCCCGTCAAGTCACCAAAAGCACTTTTGTAGCCGGGAGTTGTGAGGGAGGTATACGCACTGACATCCAAGAATCTACATTATCAGAAGGTTCACATGCTCAGATGATACCGGTCACTTTGCCAAGCGATTATAGCATTGAAGTCGTACATCGAATTTTAGATGTCTGCTCTTACAACAATTATTCGGAGCTACCTGACTTCGAGTGGTACGTTGACGTTCTGGTCCAATTAGTCAAGCTGCTTCCTCCAAGCGTTGAAGAGCTTCCTACCCAGTGCAATTCATGTCGGGATCCTGAGTATTACAAAAACTGTGTTGCTTTTCGTATCGGATCAGAAATACGCAATATCGCTGTCCGTGTTAGGGACGTTAGAATGGAGGCGACCAGAGCCGCAGAGACTCTGATTCTAGTTGGCAACAAGCAGGGTCCGTCTCTTCTTATCTCCAAACAAATGAATGACATCTTAGGGCCTCTTGCCTGGGTCACTGGTGAATTTGCAGAGCATCTTGCATATCCTGGCCAAACCCTTCAATCACTGATCGATATGTCGAACGTGGCGTTGTCAGCGAGAACGCTGTCCCTTTATATACAGGCTATTCCCAAAATCCTGGCCAATATCGTTTGTGCTGGAGGAAAAGCGTGGGACTCTTCAAAGAACAGTGAAATGTCACTCTTATTAGCTCGAATCATCGAATTTCTTGATGTTTTGGCCGCCCACCCAGACTTGGACGTGCAAGAAAGGGCCATCGAATTTTTGGAGGTCATGCGCTTAGCAGCAGATGCTGTTCAGGCAGAAACTCTGGAGCTAGGTCAGGCACCATCCTTGCTGTCATCTATGGTTCCCAGCTTGTTCCATGGGCTAGAACTCAACCCGGTCGCTACCAACGCCCAGAGGAAGGTTCCTTTGCCAGATCAGCTTTCTCTAACGCAGGAGTTCAACGAGGAACTATATGGGCTTTTCCATAACCCAGCCAAGTGGCTTCTGGAGCCAGCAGGCCAACTACCATCTCAGATGTTTTATCACGTTAGGGAAACTTCAGCGCTAGATAAGCAGCCCGTTGAATCTGTACCTCTGGATTTGCAACTTAATCCAACATACCAGGACCTCTCCAGCGGCTTTGGCGATGACACTGCTGCTTTTAAGCGGAGAGAGGAAAGGAAAGAGCGTAACAGGGATGATCCATTTTATATTGCTGCTGAAGATGAATCTTCTGGCACATTAACCCCATTTCACCAGGCTCTTAATGCTTCAAACGGTAGTGGGCTGGATATTGACTCTATTCCTATAGTTAACCTCAAATTGAACGGCGCCGGAAGCCATCGGACTTTGGCGTCTGTGTCGCGCGACAACCGACAAAGTGGCCCACGCCCTAAAAAGTACGAGATCGCACCTGATGAGATGATCGGACAAGATTCACCCCATTTTAACCCCAATGATGAACCGAGTAAAGCCAAACGATCTCTTTTACAGGTCGACTCGAGTGGCCTCGAGCATTTATCCTTGGATGGTAGGGGCGGCCCGTTGGTAGATCCTACAGTTCCTACTATGGTGGCCGGGCATGATGCAGAAATGGCTATGGCTGTGCAGAAAGTGGAAAGGCTGCGGCTAGAGATGCAAAGAGCGTCGGAACGTGTTCATCCGAGTGGCATCCCTGCAGAAGGGACGCTGGTAAGGAAGAGAAAAAAAATAAAAAAGCCTGCACATATTGAATCCCAGGAAGCTGCACTGTCGAAGCCTAAAGATGTATTGTCGGTGGACAACGCGCAAAAAATGTTACTTTCATCTGTGGCATCGAAGAAAAAGAAGAGAGCGAAAAAACAAACCAACGCTGGCTCAGGCAGCGCAGTCTAAGGCACATTGACTCCTTTGTGGGTGCCATGAACCCCTTTACATGTCTGGAAATTGGTGGCTGGGATTGGGATGAGCCCGGTAGTATTGGCTAGCATATGCACCCACCTGTGATTGTGGGTCAACCATCATTGAGGTTATAAAATGGTTCCCAGGCTACTTTTTACGCCCTTGACGAAAACGTAGTGCCCTCGCCTTGCAGGTGGTTGTCGCTGCTAAATTCCGACGACACGATTTTCCCGATGCAAGATATAAATCACGTACGGTAAACTCATTTGCCTAATGCTAAGAGATCACGGAGTATACTGAATTAAATGAATGCGACACTTAAATACGACTGTGTTATTTTAACGAATACCTGGCCTAGATTCATGCCAATTTGCGATTGAACATTGCAACAGCAGCCGACCACAACTCTGGAACAATCCTCAGCGCCTCAAATGCAAGCCCACCACAGACCACAAAGGCAAGAACAACTGTTGGCCTCATTAGCCTCGAGGGCCGCGAGAATTTCTGGACTTTCGAGACATACCAACCCACCCGGTAGACACGGGAGACTTCGAGTTCTGTTTTTGTTTTGTTGCGGTCTTTCCTTTGCCACGCTTGGCAGCCTCGCTCTTCGCGTACTTTTCATTTGCCTTCCGTTGCTGTGGCGTCTGTGCCTGAGGTAGCTAACTTAGCAACAATAAAACGCAAGTTAGTGCGAGATTGAAGCTTACCATGTTGGTTGCGCTAGTTTGCGGGAAGGTCCAGTTACTATTAAAGGGTGGCAGAGGAGCAGAGATTGTACTGTAACGAAGAGTGTGTTGTTGATATCACTCAATCATCTGGGGTCCAGCTTCGCGTTGACGGTTAGTTTGGGGTTGGCTTGAGGATAATTAGCTGAATATAATGAGGTGAAAGGCCACGTTGCTTTAGCATGGTTGGAAGAGTGCAATAGGGAGCTGCCAAGTCTCACTTGACAATTAGAGGACAGCTTTATACAATCTGCCCTGGTTACAGTATGCCCTGGAAACAGCAATTTCTATGCCAGACCTTTGAGTAGTCCCTATATATATATGGCGTTGCTGCTGCCCTATTAATATGTATAGTAGACATGGGAGGTCTGTAGTAAATGATGTGTGTTCAACCGCGAAGGACGGGTTGGCTGGGCACCAGCCAACCTAAATCTCGATTATCCGGGCTCCCGCATATACAACTATAAATACATTGGTCTTTTGCCGGCGGAAGAAGGCCGATAACCTGGCCCGGGTATTATATCA